AAGTAATGGGCCCAGTATTGTGCCTTGAGGCACTCCACAGGTAAAATTGGCTATATCTGAGGTTGTATCATCAATTTCTACAATTTGAGATCGATCTGAGAGATAACTTTGGAACCATTTGAGAGCAGTACCTCTTATGCCAAAGTGATCTAGTTTTTTCAAAAGAATAGTATGGTTTAAAGTATCAAACGCTTTTGAAAGGTCACACATAATTCCTAAACAAAGTTTCTTTTTATCAATAGCAAGTCGTACGGTTTCAACAAATTTTAAAAGTGCCATGAAAGTTGAGTGATTTTTCTTAAATCCGTATTGGTGGGCATAAAATACATTTTGTTTTTCAAGGAAATCAAAAGTTCGAATATATATACATTTCTCAAAGATTTTTGAAAAGACTGATAAGAGAGAGATAGGTCTATAATGGTTAAATACATCTGTTCTGTCTTTTTTGTGGATTGGAATTACTTTTGCGAATTTAAGTTTATCTGGAAATACTCCAGATGAAAATGATAGGTTAATAACATGCATAATTGGAAAGCCTAGAAATTCACTGCATTCCTTTATAACAATAGGTTTAAAATTATCTGGCCCAGCTGCTGAGTCAGATAGCTGCGTGATAATTTTAACAATTTCTGTATGATTGGCTGGAGTAAGAAATATGGAATTATTTACTCTATTCATTTTATTCAAAAAAGTATCAGGTGAATAGTTGGATTGTCCTACATTTTTTGCACAATTAAGCCCTACATTTGAAAAAAAGTTGTTGAATCCGTTGGCTATATTTTTCTTACCTGTTATTGTTTTATTATTTTCTGTAAATGAGGTAGGTAGAGGCTTGTAATTTTTCTTTTTTCTTTGCATAATTTCGTTCAAAATTTCCCAAGTTTTTTTAATATTAGATGATACTTCTGAGAACCTAGATTGATAATATTTTCTTTCAGCAATTCTCATAATATGTTTCAATCTATTCTTATAATTTTTATAAATTTGATTATTTTCCTGCGTTGAGTTTTTAAGATATTTTAGGTAAAGTTTATTTTTTGTCTTACAAGAAGTTATTATGCCAGATGTGAGCCAAGGTTTACCGTTGTTTTTAAATTGCTTGACATTTTTGGATTTAATAGGGAAGGCCTGTTCATATTGGATTGATAATTTGTTATTGAAAATTGAATAAGCTTCATTAGTATCTTGACATTCAGTAACATCACTCCAGTCAATCATTCGTACATTACGTTTGAAATTACTTATAGAGTTATCATTTATTAATCTGTAGTGTATATCTTTAGTCATAGTTGATTTTACATTTTTTTCTGTAATGGCAAAAATGGGTAGGTGGTCAGAAATTGATTGAACTAGTATACCTGCTGATTTTATATTTGGAACATTAGTGAAGATGTTGTCAATTAAGGTTGCTGAATGAGGTGTAACTCTAGTAGTTAAGATCAAAGGAAATAAGCTATATGAAAATAACAAGTTGATAAAATCATTTGACGGATTATGGTGTTCTACCTTAAGCAAGTCAATATTAGTATCACCCATTAAATAGATTGATTTGTCCTCAGAACATAAAGAGCGAAGAAATTCTTCAAATTTCTCATTAAAATTGTTGATATTAACGTCAGGTGGTTTGTAAATACATGACACTAAGATGTTTTTTGAATTGGGGTTGAGTATTTCAATAGTTGTGGAGTTGCAATCATTGTGATTTAATTTTAAGTCTGGTCTAATTTTACAGTTTAAACCTTTACGGACAAACAAAGCAGTACCGCCACCGTTAGTATCTCTGTGGTCAAAAAAGGATTCATATTTATAATGATTAGATAATGATTCAATATTACTATTAAGCCAAGTTTCAGAAATACCAATTACCGAAAAGTCTTTCTCAAATTGTGCCATCAAGCCATATAAGGCTGATTTATTTGCATTGAGGCTCCTTGCATTAACATGTAAAACTGTAAGTTCATCATTTGATGAATTTCTAAGGTCATTGTTTACACTAATTAAGTTTTCATGATATTTACATGAATTCATATTAGTTTCTAATTGGGAGTCTAATTGATTAATATCATCCTTGTCGTTTGCAATGTTATTAAGATCTTTAGCATTGAAGACAAAGTTGTCACATTGGTCGTATATAGAAATGTCATCTAACATAGCATTGGCAAAAGGCAATATGCTCCAGAGACCTGGCATATCAGTATTGATATTATCCAGGATCAAAGATATAATTGACCATGCTGGAGGGTGGGGAGTGGGAAGTGGTGAGTGGAGGCGAAAATACTGTATCACACATCATGCAAGAATGGGAGGGGCATACAATGCAGATCAAGATCTCTCTGCATAGATGAACCATAAAACACAAAATATAACTATAATGATACATACATTCACCATACTACTATAATTATAGTGAAGGATATAATAGAATAATTCAATTCTGACAAGAGTTACCATACAGAGCCTTACCATCAAATAAGCATGTAAAGCTTCATCATTGCACACTAAATCATATCGTAATTTGGACTTGGTGCCTAGTAACAGAATGATAAGTGTGCTTTGAAAGCAACAATTTTATGTACAACTTTTCAACTTATATCAAGTAAGATAATATCATATCATGTCATAAAAATAATGTAGAATATCATGTAAGATAATATCATATCATAAAATTAGTATCACTTGACTGTATATCAAGTCCCATTAATGTAGCATATCATATTCGATAATATCATGCCATAGCAATCAGTATCATTTTAAAAAATATATATCAAGTCCCATTAATGTAGCATATCAAGTAAGATAATATCATATCATGTCATATCAGTATCACAAGACTATATGTCAAGTCCCATTAATGTAGCATATCATATTAGATAATATCATATCATGTCATAGAAATCAGTATATATCAAGTCCCATTAATGTAGCATATTGTATTAGATAATATCATGTCATGTCATAGAAATAATGTACCATATCATGTAAGATAATATCATATCATGTCATAGAAATCAGTATTACTTGACTTTATATCAAGTCCCATTAATGTAGCATATCATATTAGATAATATCATATCATGTCATAGGAATACTGTAGCATGTTATGTGTGATAATATCATATCATAGAAATCAGTATCATTTGACTATATATCAAGTCCCATTAATGAAGCATATCATTTTCGATAATACCATATCATGTCATAGCAATCAGTATCATTTGAATATATAAAAAGTCCCATTAATGTAGCATATCAAGTAAGATGATATCATATCATGCCATGTAATAGAAATAGTGTAGCATATCAACATGTTAGATAATATCATATCATAGAAGTCAGTCTCACTTGACTATATATCAAGTCCCATTAATGTAACATATCATATTCGATAATATCATATCATATCATAGAAGTCAGTCTCACTTGACTATATATCAAGTCCCATTAATGTAACATATCATATTCGATAATATCATATCATGTCATAGCAATCAGTATCATTTGAATATATATCAAGTCCCATTAATGTAACATATCAAATAAGATAATATCATATCATGTCATAGAAATCAGTATCACTTGACTATATGTCAAGTCCCATTAATGTAGCATATCATATTAGATAATATCATATCAAGTCATAGAAATCAGTATCATTTGACTATATATCAAGTCCCATTAATGTAACATATCATATTAAATAATATCATATCATGTCATAGAAATCAGTAACATTTGACTATATGTCAAGTCCCGTTAATGTGACATATCATATTAAATAATATCATATCATGTCATAGAAATCAGTAACATTTGACTATATGTCAAGTCCCATTAATGTAGCATATCATATTGGATAATATCATATCATACCATAGGAATAATGTAGCATATCAGGTAAGATAATATCATATCATAGAAATCAGTATCACTTGACTGTATATCAGGTCCCATTAATGTAGCGTATCATATTAGATAATATCATATTATGTCAAGGAAATTAGTATTATTTCACTATGGATCAAGTCCCATTAATGTATCATATCATATTAAATAATATCATATCATGTCAAAGAGATCAGTATTATAACTATATATCAAGTCTCATTATCATATTATATTAGATAATATCATATAATATTAAATAATATCATGTCAGGGGAATCAATTGATTAATGTAGAATATCATATCAGCTAATGACATATCATGTCGAAGAAGTCAGTATGTATCAAGTTTCATCAATGTAGAATATTGTATAAGCTAATATCATATCATGTCGAAGAAATCACTATCATATCACTATATCATATCCCAGTGTATCATGTGTCATTTCACATCCCAAAATTACGGCGTCTAATGTCATGTCTGATTCAAAATCATGGCAAGGTTCAAACATACCATTTCCTTGGATAGATATCCAAGGATTGTAGTCTAAGAATCAAATCTCTGGTTAAAAAATGTACAGCTTTGGTTGCACTCTCAAAGCTCGGCATACTTTCTACGAAATGAGCAGTGGTTCCAGTAAGATGGGGCTACACAGTGCAAGGTTGGAGTTATATTGATCAGTAGGTGGTGTTCCAATATATGGGCCCCTCACAGTCCTGACTTAAACCCTCTAGATTTTCATCTTTTGGGCCTACTAAAGGATAATGTGTACAAAAACAAACCTCATCCTGCTCCTCCTGGGCTGAAATTAGCAATATGAGCTATTACGGTTGAGGAATGTGTCAAAGTGATCAGTGATTTTAAGCGCAGAATTGAAGTTTGTTTTTAGTACCAGTGAGCACATATGGAGCATGTCCTGTTATACTCATCAAATAAAATAGAAGAAAATTGACATTTCACACTTTTAAATGATGTCATCCATTGACTTATGTACACTTGTACCAAAAATGAACTTGATCATGACATTTATGAGATAATCAAAGGAAAAAACAACGACCAGCGGTGTCACCCTGTATATGCTCATGGCCTGGCAATGTCCCTGCTCTTTAAATGTCAGTTCACCACCAGCAATGTTCTTTTACCACCAGCTATGTCATTTGGCCATAAGCAATGTCATTTCACCACCAATAATGTCATTTCAAAGCCAGTTTTGTTATTTCACCACCAGCTATGTCATTTCACCATCAATAATTTATTTCACCACCAGCTATGACATTTCACCATCAATAATTTATTTCACCACCAGCAATGTCATTTCACCATCAATAATTTTATTTCACCACCAGCAATGTTATTTTACCAACAAGTTGTCATCTCAATTTTAGTAGCTGGAAGAGACGATTACCTGAAAATACATTAAAATGATACTGATTTGATTTTCAATCTTACACATTCAATTAATTATATCTGCCTTGCTAAACAACATCAAGTCATTTTGACTTATATGTTTACCATACCATGTTTAATCTATCTATTAAATTCAGAGGCCATATTGAAAATTTCTAAGGCACCAGCATATAAAATTTGAACTAAAGCCATCAACTGGTAAGCTATCAAATATTACATTTATTTCTGTAGTACTTAGTAGCCACTTTGAACTGAGTGAACACTGACCATCTTGAAAATTCCTTCTCAAAAACAGTTCTTTACCCCAGGCATCAGCCCATAAAATTTAAATCAAATCTGCTAAACGGTATATTTTATACACCTACATGCTTCATGCATTTGTACCTGAAAGAATTTTTGAGAAAATGTGACTTTCACATTGTATGCTAAAGGTCAAATGAGTAACCTTTTAGAGTTTAAAATGGCACCATTCAATGGGCTCTCATGGTCAGGACTGTCAATAGATGGCGAAAAATTCAGTGGGTTTAATAGCATACTTTGACATGTAAAAATTGCTCCAAAAATCTCCCAAGATAAATGTGATTGAAAATATCCAAAGACCTTTGATTTTGAATCTTAAAACATGTTTTTAAATAATAATGAAGGAAAATATGATATTTATTTGATATGTGTAGTGAATTTGAAGTTTTAAAACAGCAATATTTACACACAAACCAATGGGCCAGATGAGAAGAACAACCTAATAGTTATCTGCCATCTATACGAGTCCTGACTCCCATTAAAGATTTTATATATGAACTGAGCAATGGAATATCTGTTAACATCATAAACATTTAACATTTTTTAAACTTTGAATAGGGGAGAAGTATGAGAAAGTTTATCCTTATTTAAAGCTGTTTGTTTCTGGAGTTTATCTAGGCGATCATAGAATTTTGGTATCAAACAGCTTATTTTTCAAAAATAAGGCAAAAGTAGGTGCCATGGCCAATGGTACAAATTACCAGCATTAGCATTAGTTCAGATACAAATAGTCAATTTTCAACTAAATTAAGCAACGATTATGTGTTTTATACTTACTATCTTTGTACTCGTTGCTCATGTTGGACCTAACAAGTTTCTTCACCATTTTCACTGAAAAATATGAAAAGACAAAACATTAATTAAAGTTTTCTAAGATAGAAAATACATTCCATACATTCAGGGATATTTTGCATTTACCTCTTTAACTGGAAATGTATACTTATTAAATATATGTATTTAGGTCATCACAAAATTTTCATACAGGGCATTAACATGCAAAATGTCAGTACCAGCCATTTGTTACAGACACTAAACATCAAGTGCCAAACCCCAACAACTGAACCAAACCCTGAACACCATCCATAAAAAAGTTGGAGACTATAACAGTATGTCACCATAATATGTCACCACTTGTGTTGGTGACATAAAAAGTCAAATCAAGATTATTGTAACTACAGTAAAACCTGTCCGATGGAATACCTCTCTGTAGGGAAAACCTATGAACAAGGAATGCATTTCAAAATAAACAAATATTCTTCCGTTGCCTTACATGTTAACGGACCCTCTCTGTAGGGAAAACCTGTGAACAGGGAACAAGGAACACTATTTTGGGGCAAAGTATGAAAATTCACCTGTGAACAAGGAATATTGAATATTGATGACACTGTATATTCCATTGTTTAAGACTTCCAGGTGTGGAAGTCTTAAGCCAATATATGATTCTAAAAAGCTTGGATTAATATGAATGAGATTAAGATAAGCCAATTGTTTACAAGATGTAGCATCCCACCCACTGTTAATTACCTTGATTTATTTTAAAACCAGAACAACGGCAACGCCAAAGCGTAGCGAATCCCATCGAACAGAAATGGCTGGCATTTTTACAAACGAAATATATAGCAAATATCATAAAACAACACACCAGAAAGGCCACCATTTTCAAAATGGTTAGCCAAGTTGTCATCAGAAGAAATAATATGCTTTTAGTAGCCACCTATAAAATCATTTTTTAAAATGGCCGCCTACTATCCAAGTGTCATGAGACAGTGTGCAAGGCTCGTGAGTATTCACATATCAAATATGAACAAAATCGCTTCACTACTTTTCAAGTTATAGTAAAAACAGTGGTCATTTTTCAAAATGGCCGCCTACTACCCAAAGTGTCATTAGACAATGTGCCATGCTTATAGTATTAACATATAAAATATGAAACATACCAAATATGAACAAAATCGCTGAACTACTTTTCTAGTTATAGTAAAATACGTTAAAATGGCAGCCATTTTTCAAAATGGCCACCTTCTACCAAAAGTGTCATTAGACAATGTGACATGCTTATAGTATTCACATACCAAATATGAACAAAATTGCTTCACTACTTTTCGAGTTATTGTAAAATACGTTAAAATGGCAGCCATTTTTCAAAATGGCTGCCTTCTACCAAAAGTGTCATAGGACAGTGTGCCATGCTTATAGTATTCACATACCAAATATGAACAAAATTGCTCCCCTACTTTTCGAGTTATAGTAAAATACGTTAAAATGGCGGCCATTTTTCAAAATGGCCGCCTTCTACCAAAAGTGTTATAGGACAGTGTGCCATGCTTATAGTATTCACATTCCAAATATGAACAAAATCGCTCCACTACTTTTCGAGTTATAGTAAAATATGTTAAAATGGCGGCCATTTTTCAAATTTTTTTTCAAAATGGCCGCCTTCTACCGAAAGTGTCATAGGACAGTGTGCCATGCTTATAGTATTCACATACCAAATATGAACAAAATCGCTCAACTACTTTTCGAGTTACAGCAAAAATCTTAAAATAACGAGTAAAGGCCGCCATTTTTCAAGATGGCTGCCATGTGCTTTTTTAATATCTACATTTGTAGCTTTATTAATGTCCTTTATAATTTTTTTACACATAAAACATATTGCTATTACAGTTTTACATATTGTACCTAAATTACTGTAAAATCGGCACTAAAATGGCCACCATTTTGAAATGAGCGGCCATTTTGAAAATCGGCTTTCGAGCAGAACTTTTACCCCCATAGGGTATATGTGTACAAAATATGAACAAAATCGGGCCAACAGTATTTGAGTTATTGCCCGGACGGACGGACAGACGGACGGACGGACGTACGTACGTACGTACGTACGGATGGACGGACGGACGGACGGAGGCGTTCCCTATATCCCTCCGAACTTCGTTCGATGGGATAACTAATACTAATCTGTTACTTATTATCATGACACTAATTCTTCTTTTCAACAAACATAAATAATCTAGGGACTGACACAATTTTTTATGGAGATAACAGATAAGTACATGTGTCATGTTGAGCCAAATCTCTTTAAATCTTTTACTGATCCAAACTTCTAGTTTATCAATGATATAAAATGGGGTTGATGAAACTTGAAATTCAGTTCTTTACATGCATATACAAATATGCTTATTCGGCAAGTTTGAGTTTGCTGAAAGTGTGGCCCCTCTCTATAGGGAAAACCTCTGAACAAGGAAACGTTCCTCCAGTCCCAAGAGCATTCCCTGTTCGCAGGTTTTACTGTAGTTATAGTACAAAATGAGTCATGAATTTCATTTCATTTTTTCTTTTTAGGTTATATCTATTCATTATTTTACAGGTTTTTAAATGTTTCCTTTGTGCTTTCTCAATAATATACATATTAGCCAGGCTATGCTATCATTAGAAGTGTGAGGAGTAGCGCCATCCTTCTAGAACCACTGTTCTTGTCTATTGAAGCCTCTATGTCACTCTAGAACTGCCTAGAACTTCCTTGGAACGCCAATATCGCGCTGTGTGTTAACAGTAACAGTGTTGCCATTATCAACCTCAAACCAAAAGGGGCTAATGATTTCATGTTTGGAAATTGGCAGCCCAAGCTGTGCATTTAACAGAATGAACGGGCCTTTGAAGCACTTCATCTGGAATTTGTGATCCTAGAACACATTATTTCTTGAGTTTGCATGTTCAGAAAGAAGGGAATGTGATTCATCCGAAAACCTAATATTGGAAATGGACGACATTTGGAGCATATTTTGGAACGACCATAACTCTATCAATATAAGACTATGATTATTGAAACTTTGCCAGAGGATCCCACATTGAATGAAGTCCTTGTGTGCCAAATTTCAGAGCAATTAACCTCCACTTAAGAAAAATATTGAAGAAATGGAGGGTTGCATTTTTTTGGGGTCACCCTGTAATATCAGGTTTAGGATGTCAACATGAGATTTCAAATCACTTATCAGCCCCGTATCCAGGGGATGGGGGCTCATTTAACCTCGTTGATATCTCATAAAAATGTGGATCTACCTTTTTTCTTTCTATAATGAGGGAGAAGGTAACATTTGGTGATATATGTATTATATATACTGTATATATGTATGTATGTATGTATAATGTAATAGTGCCAATTTCTTTTGATAAACAGTCAAAATTAACTTGTCTATATTGTCAAGGATTTACACCCCCCCCCCCCCTTTTTAGTATCTACACCTTCCAACTTCCAAGTCCCAGTTTGTAACTCAGTACCCAAGTCCTAAGTACCAGTTGTATCTCAGATCCCAAGTCCCAGTTTGGTACCCAGGTACCACTCACATGTCATGAGAGGTATAATAGTGAGACACAACGATTCAGCCTGCTTCTTCCTTCACACTCTTACTTCAGCTTCACGTTTTACTTTAAGACTTCTAAATTATATCAAGTGATTCTTTATAGGACATAACTGTAAAATACATCTTATACTGTAGAATAAAGAACTAGAACTTAGACTGTTATTTTGATATTTAAGAACCCCTCAATATAAGCTATTGAACAGGGCCTAAAGGGCCCTGAAAAAAATTGGGGGCAAAATCTGCTACTCCCCACATAGAATGGGCAATTAGATAACATAACTGGCATTACTGGGCATTGTTTGTTACAGCCCCCCCCCCCTCCTAACAAAGGCTGGCTACGGGCATGTTTGAATATATAGAGTGTTATCCTGCCTGCTCTATCTCCACTTAACAGACAAAATGCATGTTGACATAACCTCACAACAGCTCAAGCTAGTAAGACTTCACTTGTATTCACGAATGCAACTTTTCGGCTACGAGCTCGTTGATTGCAATTTGATAATAAGCTCATTTCAATATAAATAGTACCAGCAGTGTATCCTGGTACCTGTAGTGTATCACCAAATTGTTGACCTAAATTACGGGTTAATCTGGCTATTTAGCAGCAAGTGACAATGATCAGAATCTTCTTGATTTCATCAATTACAAGCTTTGATAGATAATTAGATACACTGAGGATATCTTGTGAAATTAGACTTAAGAATGTCTAACTGAACTATATGGGCAAATTTAAGCCATTTAACTTAAACAAACTAGTATCTTGAGCCCGACTGGCAGCCATTTTGATGCTGGTTATTGCAAGGCAACAAGCTATAGTAAGGTTCATGAACATATTATGCTGAAGATCATGTTACATTTAGGCTTACAACTAAATTTCACAAGTTAGGGTTGCTGTGACCTCTCATTTGGATTTACTGTAAACAAATAGAGAAGCCGTAGAGGTTCAAAGTACAAAGATCACAATTTACGCGCCTTCCAAAGAAGATGGGAATTTTGGTTTTGTAAATGAGGTAAGTACATGTATTTCTTCTTACTTTTAGAGATTATTTCAAAGATAATTCATAACTTAGGTTATGGCATGATGCAATAAACATGAAGTCTGTGAACATGAAGACTGAGGCAAGCATTTCATGAATTTCGTACTTATAGCATTATTACATGATGGAGAGTGTGATATATATCGAAATATCACCTCAAGGAATAAAATATCACATGAGGCAGAGCTGAGTGTGATATTTTTTCAGGGTGGTGATATTTGATATATCACACTCTAGTGACTCTACATCATGTAATAATGCGTTTATTACACAATAACACCTCTGTATATGCCACAATATAATACACCATGTACCCTTGATCTGCAGATAATAAAAGACAGAAATTAGAGAGAGATATCTATGAATTTCCACAAAGAACTGCAAGTTGTTTGTAGAATGAATTGGGGGAGTTTTTTCATGCATTTCACTTGTGTTTTTCATCTAAAAAATATCAATACACTTTAAAACATGTTATTGACCATAAGACTGCACCATATAATCCCCCAATTCTTTTCTCATTTTCAAGAATAATCTCTAGATCAACACCCAGGTATTGTTATTTTTCAAACTTCAGAGGGCTGGAAATCATTGATCACAAACTCTTTTGAATAATATAAAATAAAATGCTGTTTTAAATAGGTTCCATGTATGCCAATAATTTCTCAAATTGTGTAAATGGTACCCATTCCTTAATCCCTAGAATGTTCTCTTGGAGAAATTTCCCATATAAATCCAATGGTATAGTTCAATGCAGATTTTGAGATTAAATTAATCTTTAATACACACCTTATTGAGCTGCGATATAAACCAAAACAAATACATGGATCATGATGTAAGTTGATTAACTGGAATCAAAAGTTTATCAACATTGAATGAATTTTATCCAACATATTGGATGAGACTAACTTAGTATCATCTTCTTTGGACCAGTGACCTTCATTGGGATAAAGTAATAAAATACAATCAATGTGTATCAATTTCAATAACAGCATCATTTTTGTAGCTGTTGGTAATTGGTCAATGTAACTGAATAGACAGGGCAGGGGCTGCATGGCAAAGAGATAGCACAAGTTTCATTTCTTCCACCACATACATCCTAGCACCTCTCCCCTCATCTGGAACAATCCCACTAAGGGTCCCACCATTAATTTACCAATAACAATATTTCTGTCTAAATAACCTCATGACTTTCATGTGTTTCAGGTATATAAGACTTGGTTATTTCCATCAAAAGGGTGATCATGGCTACAGAAGAGACAAGACAGGATTTTAATATAGATTTGTTAATAGATCTTTTACAAGCTATACCTAGTCGACTTGGTTTAGACAATAAAGAAACGTTTCATGAAGATGCAGCTATGTTTTACAACAAACATTTCACAATTGAGAAAAAACCATTGATGGTTCCACCTATGTTCATCTATAGAGAGGAGTTTGAACCAGCGACCAAACGAAGGAAGTTTCGTGATGACTTCACAAGAGGGGATGATGCGGAACATATCATTTACAAAAGATTAGAAAACCTTAATGAACCAATGGTCATATTGAGGGATCTGGATTTCACAGATGTTTTCACAGCACTAGAGCGAAAAAAGCTCAATTTGAATTATGATAAAAGTGGACAATCAGACTTTTTTATAATCCACGGAGGAGGTGTCATTTGCATACAGGTTAAAGCTGTGGCTGGTCAACAGGAAAGAATAGTGAGTAGACCTATAAAAAGAAAGGTGAAAGACCTCAAAAATCAATTAGACAAAGATGAGAAATTGCACAGAGAAGTAATCCAAAGAGTGGTAGGAATTGTTGAACAAGACCTACAGATACAACTGGTAGCTTCAACACCAAATACTGACCTACTGCCAGCCTCAATGCAGGACCAAAAATACATCTACCTGCAGCACAAAGATGTTGTAAATGATGAAGCATTTAAGGATTGGTGGAGTAAAACAACCAACAATATGGAACCCATGAGTGACAAACATTTCCAGCTTCTTATTCAAAGGTATGCAAGTCATATATATCATAATAATTATTAAAATCACCAAGTATTGCAGAAGATAAGTGCCTCACTTACTGTACAACTTGACTCGAGTACTCATTCTGATTTTCTGAACCTTAACAAATTTTTTGAATCCTGACCCATTTTTAGTCCATCTTCCATAATTTTTATGGCCTGAGACATTTGAATTTTTAGTCAGGATCACAGACACATTTATCTCCTTCTGATACTCATTGTAACAATATTTGAAACTTTAAAACTACTTCTAGAACAACACAAGAATTCCCTTAGAACCAATTTCAGACTATACTGATTCTGGTTGAAGGTGAGACATATTTGGTCTAGGTTGGGACAAACTTTCAATGCATTTCAGACAAAATGTCCAGAGTCACAAAGGCTGGCCATTGTCATAACTTTCAATCTGTTGAATCCAAATCTATAAATCTGCTCCCTTAACCCAATGTTGTATTTACAGCTATATATACATCAGACACTTGGTGTACACAGGAGATATAACAAAACCTCCAGCATCCAGGAGTCAGGCTGTAGCAGCTATTTCCGCTAAAACAGAAAAGTGGCTTCTGATGACGCCGGAACAATTGAAACTACTAATGGATACTAGAAGGATGTTGTACATAGAAGGGCCTGCAGGATCCGGTAAGACCCAACTGCTGGAATTAAAGGTGAGAATGATAAAGGAGTTCAACCCAGATGACTCTGTCCTGATTTTATGTTGGAATATGGCAATTGTTGAAAAGTTGGACACGTATATGAGGAACAATGCCATACTAAAAGTAACAGTAAAAACAGTATTAACTTATGTTCGTGATTTAGCCTTAAAAGAGGACCTTATAAAGGCGACAGAAATTTATCCAAGTCGTCCAAAGTTGAGTTTTTTACTCAAAATAATACATCGCATGCAGACATACACACATGTATTTGTGGATGAAGGCCAGGATTTTGAAGAGGACTGGCTAAAGCTACTTCAAGCAAGAGCGCTGGAGCCAAAAAATCTTCCAGGCTCTTTTTGGGTATTTTGTGACAGAAGCCAATTAATGAGCAATGGTAATGTAGTTCAGGACAAAGTTGCAGATAGGCAGTGTAAAGTGGTAACACTAACAAAGGTTATGAGAATGTCTGTTGAGGTTTATAATCTATGTGTTAAATATCAAGACACATCATATGGGCAGGAAATCACAATTGGACATAGAGTGCAAGGGCCAAAAGTTGAAATTGAGACTCATAGCCAAACATCTTTAGACAATTTCAAGGCATTGGTTTGGTTATTAAAACAACTAAAAAATGAATCACATGAGCTAGAAGACATAACTGTTCTCCTGCAATCCCAAAAAACGGTTGATGCATTTTTACAACAAATGAATCAAATAACTGTCCAAAATGCTGAAGAAAAAGCGAAAGGGGGGCGTTGCTTAACAGTTGATAGCGTACAAAGATTCAAAGGATTAGAAGATAGGGTGATCATTCTCTATGACCCAAAATATGTGAATGATGAATATCCTTTCACAGTGAAGAAGATGTTTTATTTGGGGTGTTCAAGGTCTTTAAGCTTCCTCTATATCCTTACCACAAAAAGTGGGAAACAGATCATTGAATCAAATAGAGGATTTGTTGATTAAAATAGAATTCCAGATGGTGAAATAAGTAGTCTAAGAATCAAGGTAACATGTGATCTGCCAGTCACTGCTACTTATTTTTATCACCTTTCTCTGAGTACTGTATCGTAGTCCAAAAGCCAAGTACTATTTTCGTATTCTTCTCAAAGTCAAAAAGGTATTTTTTCAACTTGCTTCAAATTGACCAATTTTTATTTCAACATCATCCACAAGTTCTCAGAAGCTTAAGTCTGACTTTAGATTTGACTTTCAATGACCTTCTCAAGGTAAAAAAGGTCAAAAAGTTTTTTTCAACTTGCTTTCAAAACCTTTTAGACCCTGTTGGTTATAGACTAACTGGCATGCAGTAAAAAGAAATTTTAAACATTAAAAGTGTCTGCCATTTTGAATTTCTGGGAGATATTTTTCTTAACTTCTGAACAAAAGTTGTAACATTCTGTATAAATAAACTATTTGTACCTGTTAGATTTCTCATCTATTATTTCATCTTGAAATAGAATGTCTAGCAATACCTAGCAAAGCATTATTTTCACCATGTCTAAATGCACTGATGCATATAACTTGTGTAATACTGTTTTCCGATTCTTCATTATGTTTTTTATGATCATTCATTGCATGTATATGTAATATATCAAACCAAATTACTGAAGTCTTGTTTCCAGTCATATCTTCTAATACTTTATTAACACATAGGAGAACATTGATAACTTCATAAAATTAGGTTATGTCTTGAATGAAGATGTCTCAAGATAATACCAAGTATGTTTGCCCTTTGGGGTCATTCTGTGACATCCCAGAAAATGGGATGGGAAGATGGGAAATATTGATATAAGATGTCACTGTTGATTTTGACCAAATGCATAAGATACTCTGTTTGTCTAATTGTATTGTTTAGTATATTTTTGGAAGTACCATATAACATCTAACAGACATCTAACCAGAACAACGGCAACGCCAAAGCGTAGCGAATCCCATCGAACAGAAATGGCTGGCATTTTTACAAACGAATAGCAAATATCATAAAACAACACACCAGAAAGGCCACCATTTTCAAAATGGTTGCTCACTAGCCAAGTTGTCATCAGAAGAAATAATATGCTTTTAAGTAGCCACCTCTAAAATTTTTGAAAAATCGCACACGTACTTGTAAAATAACACACATAAAAATGATGGCCATTTTTCAAAATGGCCGACGAGTCCCCAAAGTTTTATTAGACAATGTGCCATGGTTAAAGTATTCACATATCAAATATGAACAAAATCGCTCCACTACTTTTCGAGTTATAGTAAAATACGTTAAAATGGCAGCCATTTTTCAACCAAAAGTGTCATAGGACAGTGTACCATGCTTATAGTATTCACATACCAAATATGAACAAAATCGCTCTACTACTTTTCGAGTTATTGTAAAATATGTTAAAATGGCGGCCATTTTTCAAAATTTTTTTCAAAATGGCTGCCTTCTACCAAAAGTGTCATAGGACAGTGTGCTATGCTTTTAGTATTCACATACCAAATATGAAAAAATCGCTCCACTACTGTTCGAGTTATAGTAAAATATGTTAAAATGGCGGCCATTTTTCAAAATTTTTTTCAAAATGGCCGCCTTCTACCCAAAGTGTCATAGGACAGTGTGCCATGCTTATAGTATACACATACCAAATATGAACAAAATCACTCCACTACTTTTCGAGTTATAGTAAAATACGTTAAAATGGCAGCCATTTTTCAAAATTGCGGCCATTTTTCAAAATGGCCGCCTTCTACCAAAAGTGTCTTTACACAATGTCCAATGCTTATAGTATTCACATACCAAATATGAACAAAATCGCTCCACTATTTTTTGAGTTATAGCAAAAATCGTAATATGACGAGTAAAGGCCGCCATTTTTCAAGATGGCTGCCATGTGCTTCTTTAATATCTACATTTGTAGCATTATTAATGCCCTTTATAATTTTTTTACATTTAAAACATATTGCTATTACAGTTTTACATATTGCACCTAAATTACTGTAAAATCGGCACTAAAATGGCCGCCATTTTGAAATGAGCGGCCATTTTGAAAATCGGCTTTCAAGCAGAACTTCTAACCCCATAGGGTATATGTGTACAAAATATGAACAAAATCGGGCCAACGGTATTTGAGTTATTGCCCGGACTGACGGACGGACGTACGTACGGACGGAGGCGTTCCCTATATCCCTCCGAACTTCGTTCGATGGGATAATAAACCATTAATCAGGAACAGACACATAAAAACAAATAACATAATCATTACTAATAAACCAAATTGGTTGCTCATGAACACCAAATGAAAGGTATAATAGAGTGAACAAGATTGGTTCATTTTCTCATAGTTAAAGATATTTGTGCAAACTCTTTTGAAGGATCCAAATATTAGTCAAGACAAAGCTTGATAAAATGTCAGTCAAAAAACAGTTGTAACATAAGTAAAAATATGAGAGAATGGTTCTGAGTTTTTTTTATACTGCTACCTGGTACCTGGTGTGTCTATAAAGTGCTATTTTCAGTTTTACTGATACAAAAGCAGCTACAAAATGTTTGTACATTTCACAAGTATTGATAAAATAAAACATTTGGAGTACAGATCTAAATCTTGCTTGAATACATGTATGGATTGAATTGAGTTGAATACATGTAAGCCTATTGTGTGTTTTTGTATTGAATTATTACTTGAACTATTATATTTGTATATTATATTGGCATCAAATATTATGATTATTATATCATGTGTGTAAATATTGTATTGGTATTAGTACATGCAAGGGAAAAATAAATATATACATACATAATGCTTTAGATCTTGCAAGTTCTTTTGCTACCACATCAGGATGCCATTCTGCCAGACCTTTCACTACTTCTCTCTTTAGCTTCTTGTACACCTACAATTTATATATTACAATTACAAGAAGACTTGCTATATAAATGGATTAATAGATGACACTCGTAGTTTTGGTTGTGCCAGAATATCATATCTTTACTTGGAGAAATGGATAAGTTACTTTATTTTTTAATTTCTCCAACATTTCAAACTTTATGAATACAAAGTTCCATTTGCTTGCAACTAGATGATCTTGTTGACATGCACATTAGATTGTGATTTAACCTAAATTGTGTGATCAATGAAAGAGTAAATCAATTCTCAAAGATTTTTCATTATGCCATTTTGGGACTGAGCCCTGCATTTTCCAGAAAACTTAAAAGTCATTGGAAAAGGACAAAAAATTTCATAAAACAGGGATTCAAAGAATAACTAAAACCTCCATTTAAAGAGTATTTGTTAAATTTCTATGATTTAGAACTAGGTAACTTATAATCTTGGAGCTGTTTTAGACTTTTACTGCCTATGAGACTTTTGATATCTTTCTTGTGTCAAGATAGTTCAAAAGAGTCTTTTCTCAACAATCTGATGAGGTGCAAACATAGATCCCGAACCGAAATATCTTAAGACTATGCTTCAGATACAGTGTAATAATATTAATCATACCATAGATGAATCAATCTTTGTTAAGTTTTCCAGTTGGTTCTTTCTTTCATCCTTGCTTTTCATCCGCCCAGCATCTTTGTCTCCTCTTTTTCCTACAAGTTTTAATGTATTATGTACTAATAAAGATTACTTGTCTCAACTGGCTCAAAACTGTTCAATTCCAGAAAGCACCAAATCCCAACAAGACATTTATCTGATAAAATATCACTACTTATGAATGGTTATAAAAATGCAAGAATTGTTACAGACACTTGTCATTCATGCAAAACACAAGTCATAGAAAGTGACTCCATTAGTGGGCTCACGTGGTGAAAAAATCTGATTGCTCCAAAATGAACCATAAGTAAATTGTTTTGTAGGATCTCCAATATCAAGATATCTGATCCAGCTATTCTATCCTCTAAGATTATTTCAAACAAGCCTGGGATTTTATTCCTTACCTTTCTGGAGAACATCTTCAGTCCTTGGAACCATATTACTAGACTCAATGACATCTTCAACATCATTAATGTCCTCTCTTCTTGAGTGCTTTGCTTTTTTCTTAGCTTGAGCTTTTTGTCCCTTTGTGTGTGAGGTAAAGTCTTTATTTGACATTTGAAACTGTTGTTCATCCATATTTTGTGTTTTAGACTCCTCTGTTAACACTTCATCAATTGCATTTTTTGCGGGAGTTTGATTATTTGAACTTAGGTTAACATCCTTTGTGTTACTTTTTGATTTTCCTGATTTTTGTCTCGATTTAGTTTTCCTTTGTTTTTTCACATGGTTTACACTTTCTTCATTATGTGATTCTACATCTCTCTGATTGGCAATTTTTGATGCTTTCACTGTTGGAATTTGATCCACATCATCCTTATTCATGTCATCATCATTTTCATTTTGTTTATTCAACATCTGAACATCATCATCATTTTCATGTTCATCTTTTTCATTTTCTTTTTGTTCCACATCACTGTGTTCACTGTCACTTATCTCATCATTATTAACCTCATCATTTATATCATTCATCTCATTGTTATCAACTTCATGATTCATTTCAGCTTCATCACCTTTGTTATTCATCTCTTCATCAGTATGTTTGTTCTCTGGTGTGTCATAGGTCTGAGGAGCCTCGATATCCTGGCTCTCAGGGCCCTCAGAATCTGTTCTCTTACCAACACCTCCTTGTGTTGGTCCCTTTTGTACTTTTGGTGAACTGAGCTGGCTTATCATTGATTTGTAATAATCCATCCTTTTAGATGTTTTTGTTTGATTGTTTGTACTCCTTTGTTGTCCTCTTTGTATAATGTCATCTTGCTCATCATTGTTGTCACTGTCATCATTACCATCATTTCCATAATTGTTTGTATTATGTTGCACTTGTCTGCTTGTATCTAAGGAAAGCATGTTGTCTTTCTGTGAAGCATCTTCAGATCTTTCATTCTCATCGCTACCATTGCCCTTCTTAGTCTCCTGATTATCATTAGACACTTCTCCGCTTATATCTCCACCTGTAGAACCCATTTCAGCAGCATCAGATTCAATGGTCTTTTCATTGTTAACACTTGGTACAGCTTCCTCTTCATTAAGTTTATCTTGCTCGTTATCATCAACATTCTGTTGTAGTGCATCGTCTTCATTGTTAGATCTATCTGACTTTGAATGATTTTTCTCAGTGTGTCTATCATGTGGATCTACTTCTATGGCTTCGGCAGAGACTTCCTCAATAACAGATTGTATTATTGTAGATTTTCTAGATTTTGAGCTTAATCGTCTCTTTCTTTGTTCTTCAAATGTTTTACTCACTTCTTTCCAGGCAGGTTCTCTTTCTGTTTTATCATTTTGATCATTTGGTGACATATCTATGGCCTGATTTTCCTGGTAATTTAAAGATGAATTTCTCACTCTAAGGACTCTGTGGCTCTGTTTTGGCTTTCTTCTCGTTTTTGACTTTGGTCCTGCAAACATAAAATAAGAATGTTAAAGAGAATCTTGATTCTAGACACATGTTCTAACAACCGTGGATAAAGAGTATGAATTCTTAATATTTCAATTTCTCCAAAAAGCAACATACTTAGCAAACTTAGCAGACTTAGCACATAATGCTCAATTCTACATGTAAAATAGAAGTTTTCACACATTCCCCCTGTGTAGTTTGCTTCAGAATTATGTGTTCAATAATTTACATATATTTTGAAATTACAACAACAATTTAATACCTTTCACCATATATTGCCACTTAAAATCATAATTAATACCTGGCTTACTGAATGACTCTTCCCCAGTTTCTTGATTTTCTAGATCCTTATGTTTCGTATGATCCTGACTGTGTTGTGACTGGGAAGCTGGGCCTTGAGCAAATGACAGTCTTGTACTTTCACCAGTAGGAACCAACTGAGAGATGTCAGTTATGTTCTGAAAACATCAAAATGATCATCTGATTAGTCAAACTAAAAGCATGTACATATTAGTACTGCAACTCCCATGAAAAATGCCACTCAAGTAGAAAGTGTAAAAATCTCACTGTGATCAAGGGACACTCGCAAAAATGAGGGAAAATTGATAAAATTAAAAATTCACCCAGAAGACTGTTCGAAGACCAAATAAATAGTATTTTAGCCACTCTCCTAACTACTATCGATGTTCTAATAATTTGTATCAATTAAATGACCAGACATATAATTATTTATGCCATATTGGTGTTTGTTGATTTTTAAAAAATGTTCAGTTTGTTTCCTGAATCGAGACTTTATTCCATTCAGTGATAACAAAAATGATCATTTCGGGGTATTAATAAAACATGCCTACTCAAGTTTAAAAAATGTACTCAAGCAAATATCTTGGACAGGTTCAATGAGTGAGTGGTGAGCACTGACATTCAAGCACCACTAGTACAAAGGCTATATTATATTATTTAAAAGGTCATAATCTCTAATCTGTTAGTCTGGTCCTAAGTTACCCTTAGCTTTTAATTCATAATCATATGTAGCTTGCACCACCAATTCAATTCTTCTTTCTGTAAATATCAAACCTCAAAATTAAATAACCAATAAATTAGTCAATTAAAAAATATTGAAAAAGAGGAGAGTGTCTATTTCAATTGGAAATTATCATGCAACTTAAAAGCTCAAAATATGTCAATGTTTCATCCTTCCAACAGGGTGCAGACAGATTTTCAAAAGGGTGCAATGTAATTGTTTATTTTTCAATAGGGTACAGTGTCCAGTTATTCCAATTTTTAAGGAACTGATCAGATAAGGCAACTGAGATATAATGCCTGCCCACGAGGCTGGCAACATCATTCCTTTCTTCCTTTTTGTAGGTATGATAATAATCACAAACACAATTGAATACATTTTTCTAAAATTGAAACTTACATGTGATGTTGTCAGAGTGGTGTTATTCATTTTATTGGCCATTCTCTGAAGCAACGACAACCCAATCTTAGGTGTTAAAGGACTTCCGTTGTCATCAGTGTTCAGTGTGTCTCTTAGTGACCGCAGCCTTTTACTTGTGTTCTCCATGGCAACGTTACCTGAAACATCATCACAATATGCACTGACATGTATTTTTCAGAGATCGATATAATGCATTAATTGAGATTCACACATAGCTAGGCAAGGTGTATTCGATTCCAGCAAATTGGAGCACAGTATTTCATATTTATGCTCTATATTATATAACTAACAACTCTATCAAAGGTCATTCATTGATTGGTTGTCAATGTGACAACTTGACTATACATATTGAAATTGATATTTGCCATATTGACAAAAAGTTTCTTTGAAAATATGTTCTTTTGGTGATTTTGTATCTTTTAGGTGATTTCATAGAAAATATTTTGCAATGTGTCAAAAATATTTAAGCCCAGTTGATTACGGCTGATTCACACCACTCAGTCGTTATTTCCTAAACTTCACACTCGATGCAGCGCATCTCGTGAAAAGGTTGAAAGAACACCTTTTTGAGGAATGATTCAGTCTACTTTGCACTGAGTCCAGGGCTAAATCCCTAACCATACGACATTTACTCATTTTCAAATTAGAACTTCATCTGAAAATACAACCAGAAGTTAATGGCTGAGGCTAACATAAAATTAGTGACTTAGACTCAGTTGATGGTGACAGGCCTGTCAACTGTCCCGCAATTATTGTATTTGTCACGCATTTGCTGAAGAAATTGAAGTCACGCCAGTTTTTTTGCGTTACAGAATAGGTCACGAAAATAAGCATTTTGTCTGATTATTGTCAAGCAAAAATATTTCCGGAGAAGAACATAAAAAAACGAACACCGATACGTCAAAAAACGAATGCCGAAATTTTTTTCGCAAAAATAAATGACACATGGATTTTCTATCACCATTTCCTAACCATGGTCATCTGAATGCACATAATTTCCAATATTGTCTAGATAAATATCCCTTAAAATTTGTATATTTTACATTTTGTATAATCCCATCCACTGATGTATGGCTTCTTGAAAATTCTCTTATTTTTAACATTGGAAATCCTCACACCTGTCATTTATTTATGTTCCAAACTGTTTGCTTTACATTTTTCATGCCTTAAAAATTTGAACCAAGGTGTTCAACATTTGTAAGTCACTCATTTTAGTGCTCCCAAGTTGACAGGCCTGATTTATCCTGTACCAGGACTATAGTCCTGCATTGAGAGCATTCTTTTGCCTGAACGATTACAACTTGGGAGAATTATCTACGCCCTTTACACTTAAGATACCTACTTCAATTGATTCCTGGGTATTTTAGCATTCTTTTCTTGTAGTTGAATCCACAATTGTCTGGGTATATTGGCAGAACGGGAACATTTTTATTTTTCATCGAGAGATATTCCATCACTTTCCAAGATGGCGGTTGGATTCAAAAGGGGATTCCCCGTTTGACTGACCCGGAAGTGGCCCGGAAGCACCAAAAATGGAGGAATTTGACGGTTGAAATAAGTTAAATATTACACGCAAATATTGTGATTAAAAACGAAAATTTCTTTGTTCTGCCGATAAACCCAGACAATTGTGGATTCAACTACAAGAAAAGAATGCTAAACAAGGAATCTATTGAAATAGGTATCTTTAAGTGTAAGAAGCGTAGAAAATTCTCCCATGTTGTAATCGTACAGGCAAAAGAATGCTCTCAATGCAGGACTATAGTCCTGGCACGGGATAATGCCTGATGATTTTGTTGAAATACTTGCTGAAGTTCCTTAGACTTTCTATCTGAGCCCCAGCCCAAAGAAAGATTTGTTGAAAGGACTAAAACATTGAATGACATATGAATGCCTAGATTTACAATCTACTGAGGTAAGAAATATATGATCTAGATCTCATATCTATTTATACAGTGGGGGACAAAAATAAAACTCAACGTTCACAAGTTGTCACAATGAGCTTATTTCCAAGTTTCGTGTCTCAAACTCTCCAAAGCGGTAGAAAAATAATTCCCGTTCACTAAAGTAGCACAATAAATGAATCCAAAGCTTCATACCTGCAAATAATGGATAAATCCCTACCAAATCGAATGAATGTTTTCATGAATCGCCATGTTTGTAATCCAAGGACGGTTGACTCCCAGAATGCAACATCAGTTAACCGTATTTACTCATGACAGGTTTCAAAATGGCGGAACAGCATTTTGAAAGCTGGCACGTGTCATGTTGCATTCTGGCCAATCCTCCGTTCCGGCGCAATCGGGCGACAAAATCACCTCAACATTTGAAGAGTCGGCATAACATGTGAATATCCAATTCAACTTTTGAAGTTCTTTTTGTCATTAGGGACATAAATTCCACTATATTTGGACTTACTAAGACGGAGAAAATAGAGACACTGAGGTAAGAATTTATTACATGTGCGACAGCATGTAATTTTCATAGCTTTTGCAATTCTTTATGATCCCCACTGTAAAAGAAAGTTTTTTTACTAGAAAAAAGCATGGGCGATAATAGAGTAATATTAGATTTAACTTACTTTTTCGTTTCGTTGGAGGCATTTTGCGGATTTATCAAGGCAATGACAATGTGGAACAATATATTATGTATTGTGTGTATTAGTGCATTAGAGTTATATATGATATTTAAGATGTTACAGTCGAATCATTACTTGAAATATTTTCCGCGGAAATTTTCAAAATTTATTCACGTTCACTGCGCAGGTCATTGCGCATCTAGAGATATGGAAACAAATCTGAATCAAAATTCATGGTAAGTTTTGTCTTATATCTTCTATTACTACTAACTTATCGTAATTAAAATGAGGTTAGTAATAAGACCACAAGTTGATATTTCACGCAATCGTATGATTTTTTTTTTCAACGATTTTAACTTGTGTATTTTGACACCATAAGTGATGTGATTCAAAAAATATTGTGAACTTCAACTTGAACTGTGGACTGATGTCTGTAAGAGGAGGGAAAGCCCCAGAGTTTAAAGATGACAGACATAATTAAGTCTCTTGCTTACCACCTTCGTTTTTTCGAATTTTCATCGGCTAGTTATCAAATACTACACTCCGATGAGATGTTTTAATTGATATAGGCATATTCCGTACACTTATCCTGTTCCCGGACTATGGGCCTGTACTGAGCCCATACATTTGCCTGTACGATTACAACTTGGGAGAATTATCTACGCCCCTTCCACTTAAGAAACCTACCTCAATGCATTCTAGAACTCAAAATGTTACTTCTAATATATTGGAACCACCGATTGTCTGTGTTAGTTGGCAGAACGAGGTCTTTTTGTTTCTTATGGCTCTTTTGGTCGAAGTTCGATTAAGATGGCGGTTATAACTGAATTTCCCGAACTCTTCCGTAATAGCACGAACTTGGTTTTTCGTTACGTCACTTCCGTGTAAAATGGATTTGTTTCCGGTAAGAGGGAATTTCGAAAATTTCGGACAATATTTTCAATATTTACTGCCATGTCGACATCCTATGCTCTTAACTGTATACCGAATGGTTAAACAATGTTTTTTACCTGTACGATAACCGTACACCTTTCTTTATCTTGATGTGAAATGAGAAGCTACATGTATGATATTGGTTAACACACCAGAAATGAACATAATATTATTCGGAGCGTGTTTCAAAAATTTTGATGATCGCCATTGATGAAATCATTTGTTTGTCGACTTTTGACCAATCAGCGACGATGTCATCTCAATACAGATTTACATTATAAGCGTATGTCATCTTTGAACCCTGGTGTTTCTCCCCTCTGGATGTCTGTTGAAGAATAAGCATCCTCTCTGATCATTGTATAGCTACACATACACCGTATCTCTGTACTCTGAATTAGCTACTACTCTTTGTTCTCCCATGGGCTTTATTCTTGCCACACACAAAATGTTACATTACGCCACCCTACAATTAGATTTGCGATATTTTTGATTCATTGATGATACCAAGGCAACCGCAAATAGGAGGAAGTTCTGCTCTAAGCTGATTATATACACCAGGTTATGAAAGTGAAATTCTCTATTCCATATCTTCATGGCTATATTGCGCATACATCTCGAATGCGTTGCATGATCTGATTCAGGCCTGTAGTCAGGATTTGCCAAGGGGGTGTTTCACTTTTGACAATTTTGGTCAAAAAATGGCCAAAATCACTTAAAAAGTGCTCAGAATGGTTAAAACTGCATAATTTTGTAAGAATTTTTGGCCAGAGGGGGGGGGGTACGCTCGAACCCATCGAACGTCCCCTAGCTATGGGCCTGGGATTGGTCCATCTGCGAATATGACGAAGTTCTATTTTACAAATTTTACATTGGTCTTACATTTGCAGTTTTATCTGGCCTGAATAGCTAGATTGAGATATGGATTATTTTTTCCTCTATAATTTAGGGTGTTATCTCCTCTTATGTGACTGCCAAAACTGGATAATCATGATAAAGATCATAGGTTTTGGGCCGATATAAAGATGGCAGCAGCAGCAGCAGCAGCAGCAGCAGCAGAATCCAGAATTATAAATAAACATAGATCGATTATCATGCCATTTTTATTTAAAAATTATTCTATCGCCCTTAGCCTGTGATTAAGATGGCTTGCATATTATTTTTTGAAAATATCACTACTTTTTCTGAAATCACTTTCATGACCTCTTGATCCTTAGTTTAGACCATAGGGTATTTCTAAACAAATAACTATTTGTTTTTAGTATGAGACAAGTCGATACTAATCAACAAAAATGACAAGTCATCGTCCAAGCAGCTCAAGACCAAGTTCAGGGCGAAGAATTGACAGCGCTAGAAGTCGAAAAAATGATGAAGAAACATTTAGTGACTTGAAGGCATACTATCTTATGGTATTTGATGATATTAAGGATGAAATAACTTCTAAGGAGAAATTAAATCAAGGTAGACTATCATATGCTATTCCTTGGTATCTTATGGTATTTTTCCTTAAAGGGCCAGTGTCTTTTTTCCAAAAACTGCAATTATGATATTGAATTTTAAGTGGTAATACAAGAATGTTTCATCACAATTTTGATGATATCAAATTTAAAGTGGTAATACAAATATTGTTCAACTAATTTATGATGCTTTTGAATTTAAAGTGGTAGTACAAGAATTGCTCAACTAAGTTATGATGATATGGATTTTAAAGTGGTAATACAGGAGTTGTTCAAATAAATTTTGAAGCTAACGTTAATTTTAAAGGAACTTTTAAAGTTTTGAATTTTTGTTTGAAGTATAATTATGACATTTGAATCAATAAGCATTATTTATTCATCATTCACTTTCAGTTTTACAGCAAGCTGGAAGGAATCCTACCAGGAAACTACTTGATAAACATTGGAGAAAAAGCACAGGTAATTGATACTTCACATTATTAAAGGTCAGTTAGTCAGTCAATTAAAAGCACAGATCTTATCTATATTTATCCATGTTTGTATCTAGTATATGTATTCTGACGTAGGTTTAACCATGGGCTTTCAACAGACTCTTTACTTTAACCATGGGCTTTCAACAGTCTCTTGAAAGCCCATGGTTTAACTCCCTAGGCTTATAGATGCATCAATGACAGAGGGAGGGGGTATAGGTGCCTGATCTTTGCAAGTCCTCAAATTTTCCCAACATTGCAGAAAGGTTTATATGTTAGGTCCTAGAATTCGTAGAGCTCTTAATCATGATCTATACTAGTGTTTGTATTTATATTTCTTGCAGAATGCTTAACATTTGATGACTTCTGTGATATATGCAAGAATGAACCTCCAACAAGTGAAGATGACTTAATGAAAGCATTCAAGAAGATAGATGTGAACTCTGATGGATATATTACCAACAAAGAGCTCATGAAAGTCATGACAACGGTAAGAATACATTCATTCAGTTACTATGGAGATCCTCTGAAAATCTAAATCTAACAGAAACCAGAAATTGTAAAATCATTGTTCATATATCATCTTTATGTATATCTCAGTGAATGATGATCTTATTACTACTATAAGAGCGACTGGTCACTGGACCCTAGAGAAAATCTTCTAGCACACTGTCAAAGGAATAAAATATTGAGATATTTTGATCAAAGCATGTAGAATCTGGTTTTATACCTAGCATACCCATGCTGCAAAGCACATATGTAGCACACATGTTTTCAAGCACATGTGAATAGCACCCATGTTTTCAAGCACATTTGTATAGCACCCATGTCTACATGTTTCAGAAAGGAGAAAAGATGAGCAGGGCCGAAGTACAGAAGATGATAGATGAAGTTGACGAGAATGGAGATGGGAAGCTAGATTATAAAGAGGTAATTATTGAATTAATAAAATGAAGTATATAGGGCCCTCCTAAGTACTATATTATAGTTGTTCTGATGGGTGTGTGTCTGCATTTGTGTGGGTGCCATATAAATCTTGTCATCAAAATTCCAGGAACATCACTTATCCATTCAATTGAAATTTTTACACATCTAAGAGCAGACTTAAATACCAACATCTGATTATGGCCATGCTGGGTAGATTCTCTGTGGCCGTTTTGAATTTTCCAATTAAAAGATGTTAAATTGATCAATTTGTGTCTTGTTTACTTAAAAAAATTGATTAAACTTGTTTTCTTGTTTTCTACAGTTTAGCAAAATGGTGATGTCAACTGCGAAGGAATGCAAACAGAAAGCTCAGCGCCATTTAGAAAGAAAAAGCAAGGAGAAAAGTCGAAGAAATGGTTCAGGTGATGGTCCTGGATCGGCCAAGAAATCCTCAAGTAAGTAATTTATAAAATGTGTACACTTGTCCAAGGTTTGTTTAGTTTCAATTCTAAGCATGATATATTTTGTCATAGCTACCAGTGATGTTGTAATTTCTATTTTGTTTATTTCGTTTTTTGCTGATTGTTGTACCTATACCTACACTGACTTTAAAGACAATGAAACCTTGTAATAAAACATCAATGTGATATTATAATTTGCTTAACAGTGACTGTCGATAGGAATGCTGACATCAACAATTTTGTTTCTTCAATCTAATGTACATAAATAATATGATAGTTGTGCTGTGCTGCACTGCAACTCAAGTGGACAAATGCGATCAAGTTAATACATATAATCCCCTCGTATTATATAATCTCTTAATCTATTGAATCCCCTAATCTATACTCTAATCCGCATAGGCAGTCTAGGTACGGAGCAAGGGTTGGAGGATTCTGATGTTGAAGCTGTCCGAACTTCAATGAAAGCTCTAGTCTCCAGTAAGACATACCCCCCTGTCAAACAACATCAACCAATCATAGTGCTTGCTTGATCATTTCTCCGAGTAACTGCCTCGTGCCATGTGATTTTCAAATAATTGATAACACCCTCAATTCTTAATAATTGTAATTTATAGTACAATGTATGGGATGTTAATCATTATCATTTGTGTTTTTTGTGTGTTTGCGATGAAATCCCTTGTGTATGGCTAGATTTGTTTATAGTCACTGGATTCTTAAATAAATCAATGAGTCAAAATGTTTTGAGCTTTTCAGTAACCCAGTAATCCAAATAGAATTGCTTTTCAGCACCTTCACTTAGCAGCCCTGGCACTGCCCTACCTCATACAGTGTTATTAATATTTTCAATATGAAAGTAAAACAACCAGCCACATACACTCATTTGCATGTACAATATTGAATCACATCATTTATTTATTTATTAATACACAAGTGTATGTACTCGCTTCCATATAAGTCCAAATGATATCACCAACTTCACCCTCCCAACCAACATTAATATTTATTAAGATGTACAAGGCACATGTATATGACATTCTCATCGACTTTAAAAAGATAAAGTTAGTGTTAACATTGAAAATGAATAACTTATATTATTATTTCCTTCAATGAATTAATTTCTTTACCATTACGAGAAACTTTTGAATAATTAATGGACAGTATATGTATATTTATCATTCCAAATGTATCTGAACCAAGTCACATTTAGTTTTACACTGTTGTTGCTCAATCTTTATTTTAAAAGAGTTAAGGTGACATAAGAGCATTTAAACCAATAACATAGAATGCTTTTTGGCTCACACATTGAGCATATGGGATCAACCAGGCGTCCGTCCGTTGGTCCCTCCGTTAACATTGGCCGCACAAATTAGAACTGCAATTCGGATTGAGTCATATTCACATTCATTTTATGCATATCCATAGCCTATTTGACCTATCATCGCCATTTCCCAAATTCGCCCGGTTTCCGAGAAATTGCTCAAAAAGTCAAATTTTCTGTAAATACTAGACACTTTGTTGAAGTAGAACTTTCAAATAACTTGTAGTAGTTGCTGTATATGCAACTTATGTCCTCTGAAGATTTCAAAGCTCTTGGAATTACAGTTTTTGGTGTTTACTCTATAACATTTGACAACAAGTAGGACTTATATGTCAGCATCAAATTTTTACCGTTTTTGAGATATTTGATGTCAATAAACAGTGAAAATAAGCTATGCTTCAATTTGACCAAACTTTTGAAAATCATCTACAAGTTTTCCACGAGTTCAAATCTGACATTATTTTTAGGATTTGACCTTTACTTGACCTTAAGTGACCTTCGAAAGGTTGATTTTTCAAATTGATTTTTGGATGTATTTTGGTCAGCTTAATCACAAAAGATCTTACTGAACTCTGAATAAGTAAACTTCAAGGTCAAAGGTCATCAAACTAGGTCACACAACTGTGCTATCTAAGTTTCTCAAAGTTTGAGACTACAAATCCGAATTGATATTTTTGTTTGAAAGTCAGGATATACATTCCTCTGAAGGTTCCAGGTTCCACACTGTGTGAGCACAGGACCGTGGGTCCTTTATTACCATTTTAGAATCATGAATTACTTTTTGGCACAATTTAAAACTATTTCAACCAAGTTAAGATAGTCAAGAGAAATAATGAAAAGGCATTTTCGTACAAAATAACAAGATGACAATGAAAGTTTAAAACAACATTCTTATTGAATGCCCCTGAACAACTACAAAAATGTATGATTTTTCATGTAGTAATTCTTGAACAACCACATAAATGTATGATTTTTCATGTAGTAATTCTTGAACAACCGCATAAATGTCTGATTTTTCACGTAGTAATTCTTGAACAACCACATAAATGTATGATTTTTCATGTAGTAATTCTTGAACAACCACATAAATGTATGATTTTTCATGTAGTAATTCTTGAACAACCGCATAAATGTATGATTTTTCATGTAGTAATTCTTGAACAACCGCATAAATGTCTGATTTTTCACGTAGTAATTCTTGAACAACCACATAAATGTATGATTTTTTCATGTAGTAATTCTTTTCCTCAGAAAACAAAGTCAGCCCAAGGAATCAAAGAGATAGCAATGACAGTAAGCTAAATTTTCTTAAATCACGTGTGCTAGTTAGTGACATATAAATCTCACAGTTGTTAAAGTTTTGTTAACATCGATCCCCATGCACATTTTTTATTAGATCTGTTTTAGAAGCAATTATTGCACATATTGGGAAACAAGAAACATTCTTGATACATTTTTATAAGTTTTACTGGATTTTCTTTGGTTTGCTGCATTGAATACAATATACATTCAAAAAACATTGACTAAGTTACCCTGGTTGTGCACAAGTTGCATAAATGTATACAGATAACAACATCCAGCATTACAAGTTTAAAAAAAATCACCTTGGCTGTATAGTATATGTGGTACCTATGTTACCTTGGCTAGATGCAAGTTCTTCTGTTCATCTGAATAATCTTTCAAACAGTCCTTAATTTTGCTTTTCTTGCCTTATGCTTATAATTTGTAAAATAGAAAAAAGTATTTATTTTGATTTTAGTCCTTTCCTGTACAAGTGCATTTTGATTTAGACCCTCTGTACAAGTGCATAAAACACAATCATCCCTTGCATTGTTTGGTTCACAAACAGATTAGAATGGGTTTCATGTGTCATTCATGTGTCACATCTAAATTCACATGTCATTTCAAAGGTTATGTATTACATTTAAATTCATGTGTCACTTTACACATCACTTCCGAGGCTATGTACGTATACATCTAAATTTTTGTGTCCCATCTACAACCCATGTGTTACATGTAAATCTGAAATTATGTGTTACGTCTAAATCCATGTGTTACATCTTAATTCATGTGTTACGTCTAAATTCAAGTGTTACATCTAAATTCATGTGTTACATCTAAATTCATGTGTTACGTCTAAATTCATGTGTTACATTTAAATTCATGTGTTACATCTAAATTCATGTGTTACGTCTAAATTCATGTGTTACATCTAAATTCATATGTAACATCTGAATTTAACTTATATTTCAGCTGAAACTCATCAGCCAGTCACTGTGGTTAAGGAACACGGGTGTATGTTTTGCAGGGGTAGGGCATTCTAAGTCTAGCTAGTTGCATGGGATGATCTTATATATATAAAGAATGCTGGTTTCTATGGCAACCAGGTTGTTATGGTAGCAATTATAAGGCCTTGCAATGCATTTTAATTCAATTCATACATTTCAATACCTTTCTCTATTTATTATCATATTTTTATGGCTTTAATGTTTGTCACTTGGTATTTTCTGTTTTAATGTGGTTCATTATTGTTTGTTCACTTTTAGCATTTAAAGTTTACAAAAGTGTCACGAGTTAGCACAACACCAATATCTGTCAAAACTGTTGTCAGGATATGATGTCTATAACATGATTGATATTTTTGAAACTTAAATAGCATGTCAGAGTATGCAAAACAAATTCAAGTGTAACATATTTCATATACGAGTTGAGTAATCACTTTATTGTCAGTTCGTCACTTTTTTAATTTTTGGTTTCTGTGCAGTTGAATGGTTCACTATGCAGCTAGGTAGTGCTTGTACAATGATTTGATAGCTACCTGCAAACAGCTATTCCTGCATGATGGTTTGTGGCCTTGACCTAGTTTTGCTTGTGCATTTTAGAGTTCTACTCGGTCAATTTTCCCCCTGATTCTCTCATCATATACAGAATTATGACAACTAATTCTCCCAAAATTTCCTAAGTGATTCCTCTAATTTTGACTAATCATTAAACCCCCCCCTCCCCCCATCATCACCTAATCATTGTCATTAAGTAGTGCACAGTTCTTGATAATATAATGATAAGATATATGTAATATGCACAATTTCTTGTCTTAAATATCAATGTTTTTAAAGATAATTTAACCCTTTCCAACCCAGTCTGAAATTAGAGCAAATCAGTTCTGATTACTTGATTAATGATCCATGATACAACTTCTGATTGTTTAAATCTTTAACATTCCTGCAGCATGGCAAATTTGTACTAACATCTTTGAATTAGATTATCCTTCAGTGGTCTGGTAAGGGTTAACGTGTTGTTATAATGAATTTCAATTTCTATGCTCTTATGTTTTTACTATAGTTATTGCTGTATGTTTGCTTTTTTCTTGCAATTATCAGATCTCTTTACAGGTTTAATCTAATACATGTAAACATGAATGTAAACATGTAATAGGGCAAACAGAACAAGGGTAGAAAACGTGTCTAATTGATATTAGCTATATTTGCTAAGGATAAGAAGGAAGGAGGTCTAGGGATACACAGTTTATTTTATAAACTTTTGAAGCATTCTTTAATTAGCTATGTATGAAATACAATTACCCTTTTTCATATCATATACAGTAAAATCTGTTTAAGTGGAACATCTCTAAAAAGTGTTCCACTTGGGAGGTGTTCCGCTTATAGAGGTTCATTTAACATTAAGTCAGTTAAGCTGTTCCAACTTCTAGAAGTGTTACACTTTACAGGTTTCTCTGGAGTCGTATTAAAAAGATGAATTGTGGATGTTTTATAAATCAATTTTTTCAGGTGACAATGATAAACCTGTCCCCAAACCACGAACACCTAAACCTACTAGTAGAGACCACTCAATAAATGACACAGGTATCTCAGAACAATGGCTAGGATATGCTTTATAGCTTCTTTGCTTTCTTTTTTCTTAGCTAATTTTTCAGCTTTTTTCAGGCATATTTGTTGCTATTGATTGACTTTTCCTCTCGCGATTTCTTAGTTTTCACCAGATTTGAAGTTTTTAAGTCTTTGCTTAAAGTGGCAGCAAAGACCAGAGAGTAAAATGTTGGAATTAATATTTTCAAGAATTATGTCAATGTTTTGATTATAATTCTAATTTATTTTCTGAAAAAAGAATACGTTTTAGATCAAATATTGGAGTAAGTTAAGATTCAAGATGCAGAAATGTCAACATTCATTTTGATTGAAAAAGGGATTGAACTTTGTAATTTTTTGCCAAATAACCTTAAAGCAAAGATTCTTTCTTGAGATATAGTCAAAATTGTAGACAACATGTATGTTTAGAGCAAAAAATATTGTAAAATTGGGACAATGTTTTCAAAACTCTCTGCTTGTCTAGTCTTTGTTGCCCCTTTTAGTCTGGTTGCTAGATGGTGGCAGAAATATCAAGAAAAAGAGAGATGATCCTACCTTGGTAATAGAATAAAATTGCAAGAATACTGGATGAGGAAAAGTCAGTCTTAAGAATAGTACCAGCTATCCAAAGCATGGAGATATTTTCTGTTTGGTCCCAATTGTCTGTCTACAAGAGTTATTTCTAAACTCAAGACTTAATGATTTGGCCATTATGATTTGAATTGCAAAATTCATTGCATGTCAAAATGAAAGATGACTGCACTGCTTTGTTAAACAGACAATTATTTGTGAGGCCCTTAGATATATTCACAGAAACTAACCAAATCTTGTGATACCACACTGTATCAATTAGCTCAGGGATGTAGCTACATGAATATGCGAACTGGTGGTATGATCAGCCCAACAGTAAAATGGTTACGGTAGATGAGGTTGGGTTAGTAGTGACTGTATATATTGCTAATACCATATAGCACTCTGTAAGGTACAGTGTTCTCAAAGATACTCTGATCCTAAAATCCACCCATGCACCCAAATTAAAAACCATAGTAAGCAAATAATTTCTGCATTTGTCTTTGTACAAAGTATTGCAAACTTTTTTTAATTTGTGGTATATGGGTCTGGGAGAGGCGGAGACGGAGCAATTTAATTATATGCTTACTTTCACTGCATGTTGGTAGCTTTATGGCTGGCTTAAATGGTAGCATATTATGCATCTGTCATGCTTAGGCTGTGTGGGCTCACCGTTTGCCACCATGTGAATACTTTGGGGCCAAAGATGGGGCATGGTATGGATACACAGTGGGCAAAACAAAACGTTAAGATATCCCCCATCACATCAAATACAAAAATCAATAACTTTATTCAAACATTAATGCCAAAGTAAGTCACACAGTGGTGAATGGTGAGCCCACACAGCTAATATGACAGTAACTTTAGGATGAAGATGACTTTCATACATGAATATAATTCTTTTTTCTAGGGATTCTTTCACTTTATCTTGCATGAATCACATTATTTCTGTAACATCTGTAATGGTTAGTCATAATAAATAGTGGTAGATTCAAGGGGTGTCGGTCACTCATATCAAATGGAATCAAAAATGGTGTAGGTATCTAACTCTATAACATGATTCACCTTTATTACATACATGAAATTACACACAATTTTTCTGAGAGATTTTTTCCTCTTAAGGTGCTGTGGTACTTAACAGGAAATGACAAAACAGGAAGTGACAAAACATGTGGCATTTTTAGACTTTATTTTGAACAAATATAACAGAGTTCTGTACCACGGCACCTTGAATAATTATGATTTATTTTACTATATCAAAGAATGGTGGTCTGTCAATTTGTCTGCCACAACTGTCAATGAACATGTATCCTTTCCACCATTGCATAACAAACATACTTATCTTTGTGTTGAAAAAAATGTTGTGTGAAAATAAAAGAAAAAGTTACATCTATAATTTAAATTCATTTCAACTGAAAAAGAATAGTAATTACAGTATTATTTTTTAAATAGGTCACACTGCCCTCCATGTAGTAGGTCACACTGATATTTACGTATTTATCAAATAGTTATTTTATTTTAACTTTACAAATTAGTTTGAGCTCTGGTAATAAAATTCAATTCTGAGTTAGAGAAAACCCCAAATCAGCAACCTGACAAACAATTGAACTAAATATAACTCTATTTCAATGCAGTTCAGTATTTTGATTGACAGCTCTATTTTTAGAAGTGAAATTGATGGCTGGTGTTAAAACTCCAAGGTCAAGCTGATCTGGTCACTCTCTAAGACAATTTAAAAACAGAATTTTGACTAAAATGATAGATTTAGTCTTAATTTTTCTCTGATAAAACATATTTATAGATAAATTGACCTTTCAAATCATTTTTAACTATCTAATATCAGTTTACCTGAGTGGTTTTTATCATAATAATTTTCATGTGAAAAGAGGTATTTGCAGTATTTAATAGGACTGTTTTGTCAAAGAATTTCTATAAAAAGAACAATCACAATCTTCACAAGTTCTGGTTACACTTTGTTTTCACACTTGCTGGGTTTAATTTGGGTAAACACTCTTCAGTCAATGAGGAACTTCAATTTACTTAATTCTATTTCTTATTTTTTTGGCAAATTATGAAAATTGGCTCTATGAATAAATGAATGAATGAGCTCTATGAATAATACAAAAAACATTTATTATATAAAAGACATGTAAAATTCTGTTAGAGTTAATATGAACAGTATGTGTAATATGTGTATATAAACTACAGTCATGTGCATTTAGTTTTGTTACTTTTTGTACTTTTTGGTTGATATAATTGAAGATAATTAACTTTAAGGTAAATCTGCTTTTAGGTGAGCCGAAATCCCCAAGATCTAAGCATGAAGATCGTCCAAAATCACCAGCTGTGCTAAAACGTGCCAAACTTCACGAACCGAAAAATATAAAGGTATGTCTCATTTATGAATTGTGCCTGTAAATAGACAAAATTGGATGTGAATAAATAAGCAACAAAAACTGGTTCATTAGTATATCTTCAACCGCTATTATTACATATAGACCATGGCAAATACTATATGGTCTAAGCATAGCATTCCATAATGTGATTAGTTAAAGTACTGTATGTAGACGCCTGAAAAGCTACCATACAATATATTGCATTAAGGGAATAGGATTATTTATTAATGATAGCTTACCGCATAAACCTCTTTCACGCAATGGCAAAATTTAATCATTAAAAGAGAAATTACTGTATAATCTCCTTCAGCTTGAGTAGGTGATTTAATTCCATCAAGAATAGAGCATTCTGAAGAAAAAATATGGAACATTTTGGTCAGTTATTGTGATGTTTATTTCATCATTGAAATAATAATATAATGACTTTTTCACATCTTTTTATTCTATGTCTTTATTAGCATTCTGACATTTGTACAAATGTTGAGGTCAAGGCACCTTTACAGGTCTATGATAGATCCCAGTGGAAAAGACTAGTCTCGGCTTGGAGAACGAGGTTGATCAGTCTACTGCACATTATGCCTGCTTTGGACAATTTTGTTATTTTTACATCTTGCAGATTTAAATGTTCTCTTTTGAATATTCATAATTTAATTTGGGTAATATTTCTATATTTTTCATAAAAAGAAATTTTAGCCCAGGAGACTGTTTTCCAAACGTTCTCTTTTGAATATTCATAATTTAATTTGGGTGATATTTCTATATTTTTCATGAAAAGAAATTTTAGCCCAGGAGACTGTTTTCCAAATGTTCTCTTTTGAATATTCATAATTTAATTTGGGTGATATTTCTATATTTTTCATGAAAAGAAATTTTAGCCCAGAGACTGTTCTCCAAACAGAGACTTGTCCTTTAAAAGTAATGAATACAGTACAACCATTGAAACCTGTTAGGTGGAACACTTCTGTTAGTGGAACACTTTTCAGAGTCCCAAAATAAAACTGACTTGATGTTAAATGAACCTCTTTAAGTGGAACACCTCCCTAGTGGACCACTTTTTAGAGGTGCCAAAGGAGTTCCACATGTTTTATTGTATGCACTGAATACACTTGTTTTTCAGAACTGGTCATTGGTGCTTAGAAGAGGTAGCTTTTTCTTTGATGATGATAGCAATATAGTCAGTCAACAATTCCAGTTGGTGCTCCCCGAGGACAGTGGTGTCTGGATCACTATAGAACCCTTTTATTTAAGGCCTAGTGGTAAGTACTGGTGGGCATTGAGGGATGCTCTTTTTATATGACTAGCTCAGATTCAACCATATTTGCCCCATAAAGATGTAGCCATTTTTTATCCTTTGCCAAATACATGCATTCTATATATGTATTACATTGAATTGGGCAATACTAATTTAAATAAAAATGAGGCTTAAAACTTTAGGATGCAGTACTATCTAATGAAACATTTAAAAGTGCAGTACCTGGACCCTTTAGTCTAGTAACTGTAAATACTAGAACTTAATATTTGCTGTTCTTAGAGTGTTTTTGTTTAATTTTAGAAAGTTAGTTAATGTATTTTTCTAGATGAATCACGGTATAGTGATGCCCCCATAGATACAATGTTAATGTTGCTACGTGATAGACCAGACAGAGACGGTAACAGACTTGTTACTTTTACTGAACAAAAAGACAACAAAGGGGTAAGTGACATAACAGGATTAACTTCAAGTTGACCATCCCAGAATATTTGTCCAAGTGATGACAAAGCATGGTGAACTTAAAATGAACTAACTGATCAGTCCCGAATTGATTGTTGACTTCACCCTCTTGATACTAATAATCTGATTTTCCTGATTGAAAAAATGGAAATAGAGCTTGTGCTATGGACGGAATGTATAAAACTACTCCCGGGGATTTGAACTTATGACCCATTGTCAGGAAAGTATAAAACTGAAACCCCCATTTTTTGTCGCTAAACAAAATGTTGCGATGAACAGATTAGTAATTTGAACTTAAGAAATATACAGTGTGTTTTGAAATTGGTCTGTTACTATAAAGATGCATGCTAGTTCAATGTAGTGCATGATTTTTATTATTTATTTTCTAGAAATTTGGTCTGAGATGTGACCTAGATGCTGGTAAATACACATTGATGCCATTTACAACAGGGTGTCGCCTAAAGAGACGAAGGAGTGAACCAAAAGTTGAAACAAAGCTTGTAAGGAAACAAGATGACGGCAGTTTTATGCTGACTAAAAGTTTTAAGTAAGTACAGTGGACTAAAATGTGCTATAGGAGTTCACAATCAGCATGTGTGATCATTGATAAATGCGTTCAGTGAAGCATAGAATTAATTCAACTATGACTCCCTTTGAGCCATGATTTGTCTTCATACAGTATAGTAAGACAGGGAAATTTATAAAGTGGAACACCTGTGTTAGTGGAACACTTTACACAATCCCAAGACCAACTTCCTTAATGTTAAATGAACCTCTATCAGTGGAACACTTTTTTTATTTAGAGGTATCAAAGGTGTTCCACTTAGACACAGAAGCCTGTGATGCATTTTGCTCCATTCTAAATATATGCATGATTTAATTTTTTGGAAAATTACGAACTTATTGTTCTGTAGTTACAAAATGACTTAAATAAAAAACTTGGCAGATATATATATTTTCAACTCTTACGGCTCACCCTGTACATTACAGAGAGGCCTTGTCTGATATATTTGAGATGAATGACCTTGATGCCAATGGTCTGCTAAGCCGTGATGAGTTTAACATGTACAACATACGCACAAGTGGGGAGGAGGTCACTGATGATGTGTGGGAGGTGGTCGAAGGTACAAAGTTGAAATATTAACCGGACCAGTAGCCAGAGGGTTTTCAGGTGTTCAAGCTCCATTTTTGGCCAAAGTTATCAAATATGAACCCCCTGGAAGTTCCGTGGAAGACATGTGCATGTATAGTATAGTGGCCCTTTCTCTAATAATTGCTACCTGGCTCCAGTTCACAAAACATTATCTGTTAAATGTCTTTCTAAAGGAGGCTAGTTATAATGTGATTTTTTAAATAACAGAAGATGAGCCCATGTTGAAGAAGCAAATTTATCTTAAATTTTTCTCTAGATGTGAAGGAACTGTGATCAATTTTATAATGATACATACATTATATTACCACTCTATTTTATCTAACCTTACCATTTTCTATTTTTCTCATTAATGAAATTAACTAATGTGTGACTGTTACCTTTCCTATTTAGAACAATTTGAGCTGAAAAAGGGTCAAATTACTCGGAAAGGATTCATAGACTTAAACCAGATGGAGGCTGATGACAATGAGGGTGATACTGAAGACTTGTGGGTAACCCTGAGTAGTATGGGCTACAATAAAAACCTTGAAATGGATGAGGTAATCAACCAAGTTATAAGTCTTTAATAAATTCAATTTTTCAATTTAGAATCATCATACCATTAGATATCCAAGAATAGTGTATAATTTAAAAAAGTATTGAAAATTTTAAAATATAAAATAATTAACAGTGCCAGGTAATCTATAGTGGTTGTTTCCCACGCATACACAATAAAAGCTGTTATTCTAGTACATGTAGTTCCATTTCAAAATATATATTATTTCTTTGCACACAGAAAACAAAAATAGCTCTTAAGGCTGATTCCCTTATAACCTATAGCATCTTTATATGTAATAGATGTATTTAAAACTTGAAAGTGATGAATGAGAAAACATATATTATAATGTTCAATAATGATAGTTTTTCTTAAATTTAGGCTTGTCCCTTCAGTCTTGAAGTTTATACCGAAGACACCAAAAAGGCTGATGTGAAAGCAACAGGTTTCACAGATCCTGACCAGCAATATTCATCTGACCTCTGTCATGCAATACTATCAAAGGTAATACATAGAAGTAACTCTACTACATACTGTGATATATATCTCATATCTAAGGTGCCTTCTGTAGATATTTGGCAGACAGAAAGATAGCAGTACTTTGTCATCCTTTAAAGGCCTATGTTTTTTCTTCTTGTGCAATTCTATTGAAGGCAAACTTATAACAGATGCAGTTTTATGTAAGTTTAGTTAAGGATTGACAGGTGCAATTCAAAAGTGTAATATGTAAGATAACTAAAGAAACACCAAAAGGAAAAAAGGAAAAAGAAGACAGGACGAAAACCCAGAATATTTAAACCAATAATATGTATTTCCATGTGTATGTGACTGTGTTTCCATGTATGAATCTCTTTCTACAGGGTGACGCCAGTAAGGTGAAAAATATGAAAGATCTCACCATGTACACATATACAACAGATTTCTGTACCAGCGTGGCACTAGAAAATAAGGTAGGCACAATCAAGTATAGTACTTTATATTTTTATAAATGCACAATGGATCCACTTTTAAACATTCAGCTATTTGTGTTTTTATTTTTATGCGAAAAATATTACTTTGAAATTTCATACTGCTTGTAAATGCAATCCATATATGTCACTGTATTACACCTGCTAACTTCAACTCTTGGAGGTTAACATGTTAATCTGTAATTGTGTTTCAGTCAAGAAGTAAGGTGACAGTGAGAGTGGACTGTAGCAAGAGCAAGAACTGTGTCAGTTGTAGAGACTCCTTAGATTGCATTCATATATGTCACTATATTACACCTGCTAACTTCAACTCTTGGAGGCTAACATGTTAATCTATGATTGTGTTTCAGTCAAGAAGTAAGGTGACAGTGAGAGTGGACTGTAGCAAGAGCAAGAACTGTGTCAGTTGTAGAGACTCCTTAGATTGCATTCATATATGTCACTATATTACACCTGCTAACTTCAACTCTTGGAGGCTAACATGTTAATCTATGATTGTGTTTCAGTCAAGAAATAAGGTGACAGTGAGAGTGGACTGTAGCAAGAGCAAGAACTGTGTCAGTTGTAGAGACTCCTTAGATTGCATTCATATATGTCACTATATTACACCTGCTAACTTCAACTCTTGGAGGCTAACATGTTAATCTATGATTGTGTTTCAGTCAAGAAGTAAGGTGACAGTGAGAGTGGACTGTAGCAAGAGCAAGAACTGTGTCAGTTGTAGAGACTCCTTAGATTGCATTCATATATGTCACTATATTACACCTGCTAACTTCAACTCTTGGAGGTTAACATGTTAATCTATGATTGTGTTTCAGTCAAGAAGTAAGGTGACAGTGAGAGTAGACTGTAGCAAGAGCAAGAACTGTGTCAGTTGTAGAGACTCCTTAGATTGCAGATGTGATATTCCCTCCAGAGAATCTGTGGTAAGTACACCTAAATAAGTTTATCTGATGATTCAACATATCAGCTAATTCGCAAGAAAACTTCCCCACCCCTCATAAGTGTGTTCCTTTTAAGGTAGTTCAATGTCGGATTGGAAACTAAATAAATCTAGTTTTGACTCTGACCCCCCCCCCCTCCCCCCAAAAACTAAATACCATGAAAGTTGATCGCTGACTTCCGGTTTGAGAATTTGAAAAATTATTGCTAAACACGATCTAGTTTTCGTTAATTCCTATCGTAATTTCAGTTTGAAAATCTAGATCAGTGATTTGTGTGTAGAGTGGTAAGCCTGATATGATAGTTAATTATAAAAAGTTGTTTTATATTTATAAGACTATATGTAAGTTATTTAGCTGATTATGATTTCTACTCATGCCCTTTCAGTTTTTGGCCACTTTTTTACCCAAAAAGTAGCACTGATTCCCAAGTGCCTCATTGCAACATTGATTTGTTTTTGAACTTAAGAAAAAAAGATAAAAAAATAAAAACCTGCATTGTCTCATCAATTTGATCTCATCGAATATCAAGACAAGAATCAAACCAGATAATTAACCCACTTTCGCCTAATTTTTTTGAATAAGTTAAATTGTTCTTTGTTTTTTTTTTAATTTGTTTTTGTCTATAAGTAAGATACGATCTTATATTCTGTTTCTACTTAGAATATACAACCATATTGGCATGGGAGATAACTTGTACTAATAACTACAGTAAAACCTGTAAAGTGAACAACTCTGCAAGTTGGACACCTCAGCAAGTTGAGCACCTTCAAGTTGTTCCACTAAGACAGGTTTTACTGTACATGTTTGACTACAAGAGTGTGAAAGGTATGAAAATATATTCTTTATTTCAGGTGGCGCACCACATCTTCCCACAGAATGATACGCAAGAATGGCATTTTCGATGTTCAGAAATCATTGTGAAATAAACTTGTTATATGCCTATTATTGGTGGTCTCATCCTCAACAATTGTGGTCTTATCCCGAACAATGGTGGTCATCACATTATTGGTGGTGAAATTATACTGTTGCCATGGGAATGCAGAAAATGTGTCAAGTGATCTCATATTGGAGCAGAACTCTCAGGATCTATGTGTTTCATGGGAATGCTTTATAGTTTTTGAACAACCCTCATAAAGTGACAAAATAGGACAAAATAAATTTCAGATTTTATGAAAATGAACAGTGGGTTGATATTGTGCTTTCCATTGACTTACCAAATTTACAAAAATCAATAAACATGAAAATTAAGAGCAATTAATAAAGCCAAAAATCCCCAAAATAAGGCCAAAGTGAGTGAAGTGACAGATCAATCTATATCACTCGGAGTATCTGAGGAATATCTAGTGGATTTATTGCTGAAATGATTATGGGAGGAATATGGGAGGAAGATGGGAGGAATATGCTTGGTTGACAGGCTCATAGACTATAACACTTCAGAAGTAAGAAGTCTTCTGCCATGTAAAAGATTCACAAGCCCTAATATACCTTACATCTAAATTCCCCTTCATTGTGAGAGAGGGCAATCTTACATTTAGGTGGGATTAATGAAGAAATGAAGATTTTAGTGAGATGCAAAATCATGTATCTGATCAATTGTAAAAAGTACAGTTGATGTATCATCTTGTTTATTATGTCACCACCACAAGTGTTATATAACGTTTCTGTGGATGGTGTTTGGCAGTCGGTGTTTGGTGGTCAGTGATGGTGGGTGGCAGTTGGCATTCAGCATCTGTAACAAATGGCATGTGGTGACATTCTGCATGTTAATGCCTTGTATTTCAAGTAATTTCAAAAGAATAATGCTAAGATTCTGCATTACACATAACTTGGTGTATAGTAAAACTAAATAATTATTTTGTATTTATTTTTTGTTGTTATATGCAATTTCCGTGGACAACTGGATTGTGCCAAATTACTACGTCATCCACTGTTTATAGTTTGAGACGATTTCTCAATCATTAATTTCTAATTTTTGCACTGCAATGCCTAAAATGTCACTATTATTAATGTTCTCTGACACATTTTGGTATTTATTACAATACATTTAAATTATTTGTATTATCAATTCAAAACAAATAAAGAATATTGAATGAAGTTATACAATCTTTTTTCCAGTATTTGTACTTATCCAGGGAGATAAGCTCAATGAAAGAAGGCAAAATGTTTGTTTGCATTACATGTAGTAGTTACTTGAGAATTGAGAAAGGTAAATTTCATAGTGGGCCAGAATTGGCAAGGTTTCTTAAAAAAGGTCTCTTAAATAGCTTAGGGCACGTATATACTAAGTCCAAAGTTGCGCTTTTTCAAAAAGATTATCTGATCAACAAATCTTTCTCCCATAAATTGTCTTTGAATTGTTACTTGTAAGAGAGGAAAAAAGCGTTACTTTTAAAATGCCGATATTTTCTGTCCCTATATCGTGACACTGTTGGGCACTTAAGAGAAACTTCATAAAAAATCTTTTTAAACCATTGATATTATGACATCAAGATAAATATCATATCAGACAATGATAAGTCCCCAAAAATGCAAAAAGAAAATAGCCTTTGATTTGAATTTTCCTCTTCAATTCTATTCTACCTAAAACATAAATCTATTATTTTCTCGAAACTGTTTGAAAGATTTGCAAATGATGTAAGGTTTAGGATCTGCATACATGATCAATAAACTGCAAACCTCTCTGATATTTATGTTGGTGTTCTTTGACATTTGACTGACAAGTGATTTATCAGTGTTCCATGTTTAAACATAGGATTTACTGCACTGGGACCCTTTACCATGCGTGTATTCATAATCTAGCCTAATGTAATGGGTCTTTTCACCTGACTTTATTTTAGCCATTTCCACGCCCGGTGATCGTACAAAATGGATGGAGGGGGGGATTAGCCGATTTCTGCAAGAAAACTCAACAAATTCGGAAGATTTATTTTTTCCAGAGAAAATTTACCACTGAATTGCCAAATGAATAGGCACAGTGCATGGCAAAATATGTTAGGTCATCTAGTATTTATTTTGAACTGATACCCTTCAAAGATATGAGATCTATTAAAAAAGGCGCATCATCACCAACGTGCAAAAGTCAATGTTTTAGCTATAAATCGGGCAACAATGGTCCACACAACCTGTAATGAATAGGTATAAGGGACGTTATTATCACAATACTAATGACATTGCTCACTTTTTAATGTTAGTTTCCATGCGTTATAAAAAAAATAATCGAAATGAATTAATATTGGATGGAGGGGGGGAGTGGATGGAGGGGGGGATTTATATGTCTTTACGATGGAACAAATTCACAAGAACTCGCGTATTTGAAACATTAAACTCAATACTCCAGTAAGAAACTGGATATTATATCTCTGGAGAATGAAAAATGGGAAAATATGGAGTCATAAGAATAAATTCAAGTAGCATGTCTTATCATGTCTTACATACACGTGATCCCCCCCTCCATCCAATCCCCCCCTCCATCCAATATTAATTTATTTCGACTATTTTTTGTATAACGAATGGAAACTAACTTTAAAAAGTGAGCAAGGTCATTAGTATTGTGATAATAACGTCCCTTATACATATTTATTACAGGTCGTGCAGACCATTGTTGCCCGATGTATAGCAAAAACATTGACTTTTGCACGTTGGTGATGATGCGCCTTTTTTAATAGATCTCATATCTTAGAAGGGTATCAGTTCAAAAATAATACTAGATGACCTAACACATTTTGCCATGCACTGCGCCTATTCATTTGGCAATTCAGTTGTTAATTTTCTCTTGAAAAAATAAATCTTCCAAGTTTGTTGAGTTTTCTTGCAGAAATCGCCTAATCCCCCCCTCCATCCATTTTGTACGATCACCGGGCGTGATTTCTTAATGAGGAGTGACTTTGGTACAAATTCTAAATAGTAATAAAATAGTAATGTATCTCACTCTAGATATGTTATAAGTATATGATATGGTATTATTTATCAAAAGTTTTGAATGTGATTATCCATCTGAGTGAAGAATAGTTCCTGATATGAAGTTGTATTAAACATAATCTTCGTTATCTAAATATAGAGAAAGTTTATTTTGAATTGCCACAGGTATTTCATAGATTTTCAATTCCTGGATATATTTATAAATACATTGCCTTTTCCACCTACATGTTAAACTTTTCAAGTCTTCTACCCTTAGGCATATTCTATACCATCAATTACAAGTAGGTGTGTATCATTTAGGTACATATAATATGGGAGGAATAGCAGTTCTAGTGCTGTTCCTGTGTATTACTGTTGACACTGTGGAGAGTGTTGCTACAGGTAAGTTGGAAAATAAAGGACATTTGACGAGTTTCAATTTTTTTAAATCATCACATAATTTAATTTGATTGGTAAACTTTTAAAAATGATTTGGTTTTCAAATACAGAAAAACATATTTAGTTGGACACCTCTGTATGTTGAAGTGATAAAAGAGTTTAAAAATACTGTTATATCTGAATTAAAAAATGTTTTAGTCTACCTTTAAACAAAATACTTTAATACTGGTATGTGTCTAACATGTCTTAAGGTTGCGGTAGAATTGTCTCTTAACACAATATGGTTTATTAGCCAACATACTACTGTAGATAGACATACTTTAGTGAAATCTGATGTTCATTCATACAATAGGATGGCATTATATAATACTATAATTTATCAAAAAGGGGTATCATGACATGCATAAGTAAAAAACACATACACGTAAATTATTTTTTTCAGATTGTCAGTTTGAAAAAGGGTCAGACTGTTGTCACTTTAGATATAAGGGTAGTCAAGGCGACAGTGAGACCCAGTGTTCTAGAGGTAGTGTGTGGAACCAGGGTGTATGCAATTGTGACTGGCCTAACAAATTAGACCCATCAGAAACTCCCTGTAACCCAGATGTAGACTGTAATATAGGTATGTAAACTGTTCCAGATGTACAGATATATTTCACAGGAATATCATATTTTGGTGATATAATATTGAATACTTAGTAGTAGATAATTAGGAGCAAATATATGGTCATTTAGAGAGGTCCAAATCACTATGATCCATTCAATGTGACTTCAATAACCAAGATAAAATAATGAGTCAACCAAAAAGAGCAAGTTGTGATCTACTTAAATAAATGGCTCTAATATGAGCGATCTACTAAAGTTGAAATCCCAGTAATAGAAATGTAAATATGTATATGGTTGTATTTCGAAACACAAAAACATTTAAAGGTGTAAGATTTCTCCCAATATTTTTCAGTTGAAGCAGCTCCAGCAGTCACATGTCCTGATGAACTGGCAGATGGTAAAACTAACTTCATACCGCTCAATATCATTACAATTAAATTCTCTTTCTTAAAGAGCTCATTAAAATCTCCATTGATCATGACAGAAATACGATTTTCTACTCCAGTTCTGTGTCATGCAGAATACTCTTGGGCCATGAATCGGTACAATTCAAGGATTTTCATCATGATAATGATGCATTGTGGGAGTAATTTTGGAATTTATTCTAACATTGGTGAATTCAAACAATAAATCTTATCCTAATCTTACCTACATAGGCGAATTAATTTTCAGATAAAAATCTGAATTCTAATTTTGTTAAATCTTGAGGATTCCCCAAAAAATCCTAGGATCGTACAAATGCACAGCCCCTGCATGCAAATACTAAATTGCTTTACCTACAAATATGTCAAGAACTTTCAAGTGGTATGTAACTGCATTATAGAGTGGTGAATTAAAGTACCAGTGATGTATCAAATTCTAAATGCCGCCAATGTTACAAAACTTTGACAAATCATCTGATTGTATTTATATTTATCTATGACATTATTAGAAATAAATTGAAAACATGAAAAAAAGGTGATGTTTCAAACAGTACATGGAATGTATGTATGCGCAGGAATTAGTTAAAGATAAAAATGTCAAAAATAAGAAAGAAAACCAAATCAGCTTCACTTTTATGGGGCTAATGGAATGTTAATGTTATTTCAGACGAATGCTGTATTAATGCTATTGTCTATACAGCTACAGAAAATGAGACTCAATATCAGCAAGGTGGATCTTTATTGACATGTCCCATTGGCCAGGTGTTCAACTCTGATGACTGTTGCTGTGAAGGAGTTTTAAAAGGTATACTGGCATGTAGTACACCCAGTCCAATACTCAAGAATCCAACACTCCAAAATCTAATACTCAGTCTCTGAAACTCAATTCTCCAAAGTGTAATACTCTGAATCTTATTACTCTAGAATCGAATACTCTGAAACTCAGTACTCCAAAATCGAATGCTTCGAAACTCAATACTATAAAATCTTATATTCTTAAGCTTTAGAATCTAATACTCTAAAACCCAATACTCAAAATTGAATACTTTAAAATTCAATACTCCAAAACCCAATACTCCAAAATCCATTTCTCAGAAACCAAATACTCTCAACCCAATAAACTCACTTAAAAAACAATATACATGTACAATACTGAGTAGATATGTTAGTACACTGTATAACTGATCAATCGCGTACAGGCCTACTCAAAATTACTTCAGTATCTAAGGATTAAGAATTTATAAATAGTTGGAGACAAAAAGCTAATTTATGATCAAGATGAAACCAATAATAGTAAAAGGTTTAACATTTAAGTGGATGTTATTCCCACTTGTAAATGTTTCATCTCATTTATGTCCCCAATACATGTGATTACTGGTACCACACTATCACATTCCAGACCATATGAATGGTAAATGTGACTAATTTTCTTGTTCCATATCTTAACAATGGTATATATGACTATTTTTTCATTCCAGATGCCATTAATGGTAAATGCATGTTCTGGAATTTTGAGGGAAATCTGACTGATGCATACCAAAGGATTCCCATTAAAAGATCTGGATTTGCCAATTTTGACTCGCGGAATGGACTGGCAGACAAGGGCAACTACATACAGCTGGATGAGACGGGAAGTCTGACCATAGAGAGGCTGGCTGATGCCTACCTTGGAAACAGCTTCTCAATTGCCTTCTTTGCGAGGTTTGATGGACTTCTGAATGGAGAGTCGCGTGCCTCATCAGTGTTTAGGTAATTGTATTTAACTCATTCGCTACGAAGGACATGATATGATGTCATAAAGCACATACGTTCACTACTAAGGACGTGATATCACGTCCAAGCACAAACTCAATGTATTTTTTGGGATCTTGTAACCATGACAACTTATAAAATGGGACTTAAAAACCTGTTCATTCTGAAAGAGTATATCATATGCTTTAAAATGATATATATAGGGGTTATGCACTGGGAGGTTTTGGATACAGGGAATATCCCGAGGGATATACAATATATCTAAGATGTATTGTATATCCCAAGGGATATTCCATGTATCCAAACCGATCGTGCATAACTGGTGTATCTCATACTTTTTTAAACATTTTTAAACTTTTCAAAAATTCCCGGGAGCGGGATGGATATATTATATCTGCCCGCATTTGGCCTGGAGCGGGACATATACAATATATCCTGCCCGCTCCTCAGATATGATATATATTCCCGGGTGATATCTATCCCAAACCCACTTAAGTATGAGATACAACACTATATATCCCTATGTATACACTACATATATTATTTCAGAGGTACCATATATGGCAATTTTCAAAACTTCGTCAGTATTTTAGTGCTTTTTGGCCCAGTATTGAATGAGTTTAAGTCTATGGTACATGAGAAAATCTGTGTGACAGGTTGAGATACAAAAGCTAATTCAGAACTGATATATACAAGGCATTAACATGCAAAATGTCACCACCTGCCATTTGTTAAAGACATTGAACGCAGACCACTCAATGCTGAATGTTGAATACTGTCCAGAAGAAAGACGGAGACTATAACAAACTGAAAACTGAAAACAAGGATTTTAACATATCAGATTCTATCTTAAATAAAAACATAGAAATTATAGAAGTCATGAATGCCCTAAAAAAGATAAACTGAAAAGCCAGTATAAGAAATTTGGTGATGTCCCAGTCAATATTGCTTTACATCTCTTTGACACTTTAGTAACACCTATTCTAACATATGGGTGTGAGATATGGCAAACAAAAAAACATATAGATAATCTTGAACTGGTGCATTTAAGATTCATGAAATCAATTCTTGGTGTGAAAAGACAAACTGCCAGCCCTGCAATTTATGGAGACTTGGGGACAAGAATTCTCAAACTCCCCCCAACAAACATACTACATAAAGCATACTCCTATGAAAAAGAAATGCATGAACTTGGTTTTCAAACTTGGGCTTCAAGAGTTAATGATATTTTACACAAAGTTAATATGTCAAAATACTGGGAGGATCAAGAAAATTTAGATAATATAGAAATAGTACCACTTATTGTTGAAAAAACCTTGAAAAGTAACTTTGTTGATATATGGAGAACAGATATGAATTATAACTTTCCTATACTTCGTACATATAACACTTTTAAGAATGACTTTTGCATAGAAACTTATACAAAACTTGATAATAGAAAATATAGACAATCAATAGCCAGGTTTCGACTAAGCTCACACAAACTTCGAATTGAAACAGGCCGGTATTCTAAACCTAAACCAATTCCAACAAATGATAGACTTTGCTTAACTTGTACATCTGTTGAAGATGAAAAACATTTTTTTATTGATTGTAAAAAACATGATGCACAAAGGAGAGTCCTCTTTGAAAAAATGAAAGAAATATTTGGACCCAATTTTCTAATCAATGAAACAAATTTTAAAATGCTATTGTCTTCGCAAAATATTACTGTTCAAAGGCATATTGGCAAATATATTTACAAGTCTTTTCAAAATTTAGAATAAACTGCAATAATTGTACTACACTGCCAATACATTTTTTATCATCTTTTATGCATCAAGTTTTTATAAAGAGCCTGTAAACTCATGCAAATGATTTTACATTACATGTACATAGTGAAATTATAAATGTAGTCTAGCATTTAGTTAATAGTGTAGTATTGTCTTGAGTCAAGACAGTTTAGTTTGTACAGACTAATGTGTCATGTTTTGATACAATTGTCAATAAAAGAAATATATATAGAGGATATCCTATGATTTATGAGTGATATGATTTTTATCCACGAATGGATATGATATCTGCACGAGCGAGCGTAGCGAGAGAGTGCAGATATCAATATCCATGAGTGGGTAAAAATCATATCACGAGTAAATCATAGAATGTTCTTTTTATTCCATAGTTAAAGTCATCATCAGAATCGTCGGAAATTAAGTTATTTAATTCGAATTTCCAAACGATCCGGCGATGTTGACCCTTAGCCTCGTTTTGAGTCTGAAGTAGCAAAAATCCATAAACCATCGCATACGACGTCGTATGTCATGGCTAAAAAACCGTATGTTATGGTTAAGTGAAAATTTGTCAAAAATATCATATTTTACCACTGATTACAAAAATACCGTTTTTATTTTCACATGTTATCCTATGAATATCATGCTAACTATGGAATAAATAACAATATGTCACCAATTGTGGCGGTGATATAAGAAACTTACCAGATGTAAAAGTGGGTCATTATTATAAAAGATGATTCTTTCAATTTTAACATTTATATAAGTTAGACCTTCCATACTAAAAAAATCAGATGTTGCATAGATTTCATCATTGTGGATTATTTGTAGCAATGGGGATGAAATCACTCAGGATTATAACAACTTTCCGCCAACAATCTTCCTGACTGCCAATAATGGAGACGTGGGTAAGGTGAACCTTGGGGGTGGTATCTCAACTGGTCGCAGTGAGGAGATCAAACCGTTTTCAGATGTTGTGAGTACATGTACACTGTAAAACATATTAAATCCACGTAAATTTTGAATTTGTGTATATTCGTGTGAGTTTAAGCTTAAAGATTCAGAATGATGCAAATTTAAAATTGTATTCATGTCACTAATTGAGGGACTTGAAAAAAAACATGATTATGTGAAAAGAAACAAAAATGTGTAAATCTAAATGTGCAAAGCAAGTTACAGCAAAATTAATATTGTAATATCATTGCTGAATTCTTTTCAAAGGGAAGGCATTACAGGCATTACTCTGGGACATAACCTACCGTATTAGTAAGAAACGTCATATCAAACTCGTATGTATGGCTCGTTTGATCAAATATTTTTCTATTTAGCGGGGTCAGATGTCCTTTTTTTGTTCGGCTTTTTCAGGAAAGCAACAAACTTGGCACAGTTGTAGAATCATATGATCTGAGTAAAAAATGATTTCAGGGCAAGTGATTTGGGGTGGTCTTCATGGATTTTTTAGCCTTTGACCCCCCGCCCCTACCAGACTGGGAGGGGTATATTGTTAAAATTAAATAAAAATGGTTTTAAAGTATTTTTCTTTAAATGACTTCATTTGGTGATTGCTTTGAGGCTTGAAATTGTGTAAAACCCAATTAAGAAGTTGTCTGTAGCAAGAAAAACTCATTTTAACCCAATTATCTAAGAATAATTCGTTGTTTAATGAGCCAAATACGGAACATCCAGTACTGTATTTCAAGAATGTGATGTCTGATAGTCCTGAAAAAATTCATAGTAGTAGAGGTTTAAGTGTTTATCACAGATAGAAAATATACCACAGATGGCTCATGTATTTTTTGAGAAAAAAATTCTCGAAATTTCAATTTTTAAGTGCATGCAGCTCAGGGGTAACCTTATTTTACCTTAATAATTTTTAAAATATGCAATGTATGCATCTCATATGAGGTCAAAATGATGCATAGAGTATTGTTTTGTCATATTATTCCTAATAAGATGTGAAAAAATTATTGGAAATTTTTCAAAAATCCAAATTTTCATTTTCGCTTCTAAAAGGCCAGGGGTAACCATATTTTACCTTAATAATTTTCAAGATATGTAATATATACATCTCAAATTAGCACAAAATGGTGCATATAGCTTTGTTTTATCAGATTACCCTTGATTAGATGTAGAAAAATGATTTTACATTTCTTAAAAATCTAAATTTTCATTTTAGCTTATTGTGGCCTATGGGTAGCCATATTTTACCTTAATTATTTTCAAAGTACAAGACGTATGCATCTCAAATGAGCTTTAAAGGGTTTTTTAATCTTCCTTTGTCATATATTATTTCTAGGGAATGTAAAAAATGTTTGGAAACTTGAAAAATGATATATTCATATTAGGCCATAAGAATTAGATTCTCTGTTCTGCAAAATCCAAATCATGCAAGGGTACAAGGAAAACAAACACAAACTCAAAAAACACAAACTTGCTTGCTGAGAAATGTATACATTTTATGGGCATTAAAAGGAATGACATACCAATTTGCAGTGATACAAACACAGATCTATACATTTATACAATATATTTAAATATAGGTATTATTCAAGGGTAAAAATAAAGAAAAATACACAATGTATGCCCAAGTAATCAATAACACTGTCAATTTTGACGCACATCAATTTATCCGCCATTTCGTCTGATTCTGATTGAATAAAATGCGATGTTACTTTCAGACCCTTGTGGTTGCTATTTGGATGTGTTTGTTTTTTTCTGATTTACTCAAAATCATGCAAGCAAGGGGACGCAAAACAAAGAAACTAATTCTTACGGCCTTAGCTTTTGATGCCATTTTACCGTAATAATTTAAATAAAGATATATCACACTTGTTACTCAAACGAGCTCAAAATGTTGATTATAGTCAAGTTTTGCCATTTATTCCTTCTGAAATTAGAAATGATGATTAAAAAAATTATAAAAAATCTCAACATCCATTTATTTATTTATATAAAGAATCACAACATCCATTTATTCCTTTTTAGTACCAGTAGCTCAATACTGTACTATAGTTTTATCGAGCACTTTTCTAAGATTTGAAAATGTTTTACAGTCCAGTTTATACTGAGTAGTAGCATTGTTAAGATTCTGTGTATAATCATTTGAAAATATAATCCAAATCCATAAAACATAATCAAAACAGGTCAGGATTTATAGATTCTGACAGTCTCCCCTACGGCTAAATAGCCCAGAGCAAATGAGATATGATTTCAAACATTTGCATATGTTCCCTCAACACTCCTTAAACATCAAACAAGTTTTTTGCATGCCTCGGATGCAACATCTTTTGCTATTATACAGATATCCGCCTCATAGGACCTACATTTTCATATGTTGTGGCCTCAGTATCAGCAGTGGGAGTAGTCCAACCACATTCATGTGGTGATAGAAACTGTGGGTTAGAATGCATCAGAATAACAAATTACTCTACAACTGCAATGTTTCTAAAAAAAGATTCAAAGTTTAAAAACAACTGCAATAGCTCTGGGTATACACCTTCCATTCCTTCAAATCAGATGATTTAGAGAAGTAGTAGAATGCAAAGGTGACATATCAAATCCAGTGATTGCATGAAAAATTGGGAGGGCTAAACTTTGGTCATGGCCAAGTGGTCTTGTAATATTGTGGGCAGGTAGGTATTGGAAGGATTTCCCCTTACCATATGCAATCCAAATTGACATTTTCAGTTTTTCAGCACAAGTTGCCACCAGGATAAACCACATCAAAATCAACTATTAGGCAATGATTGAAGCAGTCTCTCGTATGGAGAAATATCCTTGATGGAGCATAAGACATTGCATTACTTGGTCACTATCATCTTGCCATGTTCTTGAGGGTTTCAGCAGGGGCGGATCCAGGAACCAACAAGGGGGGGGGCCCAAATTTCAGGTCAGAGAAAAAACGTCCGCGATTGCGCGGAAAAAAATTTTGGGCCCCTAAAATCCAAAAGTGGGCCCAAAAAGGCCCACTTTTTGGGGCCTGAAGGCCTTGTTTGGCCCAAAAACTTTTTTGGGCCCAATTTTTTTTTTCTGGGCCCACCCAAGGGGGGGGGGCCCGGGCCCCTGGGCCCCCCCCCCTAATCCGCCAGTGTTCAGTGTTGATGCCTGGAAGGAGGACAGCTCCCTCTTGTTCCCACTACATCTTGGATTGCATTTGGTAAAAGAAAATCCATTCAATAACTATCTGTGCATGACATTGCAAGATCAATTGGCCATGACAAAAGTTTAGTCCTCCCTATTTTTCATTCAATCATTCTATGGGATGTCACATCTGCATTTAACTACTACTCTAAATCATCTGATTTGGAGGAATGGAAGGTGTACCCAGAGGTGATGCAAGTGTTCTTAAACCTTATATCTTTATATAATACTTCATTGATTTATCATTTTATATCTCAGTATGAATATATGAACATATGAATATGACAAAATGCCATTTTGAGCTTATTTGAGTTGCAAATGTGACATATCTTGAAAATTATTATGGTAAAATGAGGCCACCTATAACCAGTCAAAAGCTAAATCAAAATCTGATCATTTTTTCCACCTCCTTAGAAATGATATGACAAAACAAGATTATATACACCATTTCAAGCTCATTTGAGATGCATATATGTAACATACATTGAAAATTATTATCTTAAGTATGGTTACCCCTGGGCTGTCAAAACATCAAATATAAAATTTAGATATTAGATATTTAGAAATGTCAAATTATGTTTTTATATATTATTAGGGGAAATATGATAATAAGACTTCTGGTATATGAACCACTTTGAGCTCATTTTAGATGCATATGTAATACATTGCAAATTATTATGTTAAAAATATGGTCAAATAGAAAATTCAGATTTTTAAGAAATGTCCAGTAATTTTCTACATCTTATTTGGGGTATGATAAAACAAGACTATATGCACCATTTTGAGCTCATTTGAGATGCATATATTACATATCTTGAAAATTATTATGCTAAAACATGGTTACCCCTAGACCGTCTGAAGCTTAAATGAAAATTTAGAGTTTTAAGAATTATCAATCATTTTTCTACATCTTATTAGGGTTAATGTGATAAAGAAAGACTAGATGCACCATATTGAGCTCATTTGAGATGGATATATTACATATTTTAAAAATTATTAAGGTACAATATGGTTACCCCTGGCCATTCAGAAGCGAAAATGAAAATGAAATTAAAAAAAAATTCCAATCTTTTTTTTACTTCTAATTAGCAATTTTATGACAAAACAAGACTAGATGCACCATTTTGAGCTCATTTGAGATGGATATATTACATATTTTGAAAATTATTAAGGTACAATATGGTTACCCCTGGCCATTCAGAATCGAAAATGAAAATTTGAATTTTATTTTAATTCCAATCTTTTTTGTACATCTAATTAGCAATAATATGACAAAACAAGACTAGAAGCACCATTCTGAGCTCATATGAGATGCATACATTGACTATCTTAAAAATTATTGAGGTAAGATAAGGTTACCCCTGAGCCAAATGCACCAAAAAATTGAAATTTCGATAATTTTTTTCTCTGAGAATACATCAGCTACCAAAGCAATATTTTCTATCTGCAATAAACACTTATACTTCTATTACTGTGAATTTTTTTAAGACTATTAGTCATCACATTCTTGAAATACAGTAATGGACGTCCCATATTTGGCCCTTTAAATAATGAATTTTTCCTGGATAATTGGGTTAAAATGTATTTTCCTCACTAAATACCACTTCTAAAATGAGTTTTACATCATTTCAGGGCTCAAAGCAATCACCAAATGAAGTCATTTAAACAAAAATACTTTAAAACCATTTTTATTTATTTTTTATAATTTACCCCTCCCCACCTGATAGGGGTGGGGGTCAGAGGTAAAAAAATCCATGAAGACCACCCCCAACCACTTGCCCTGAAATCATTTTCCACTCAAATCATATGTTTCTACAAATGTGCCAAGTTTGTTGCTTTCCTGAAAAAGCCGAACAAAAAAGGGGTTATATCTGGACATCTGATCCCGCTAATTATGTCACCACCTCAACTATTGTTATAGTCTCTGACTTTTTTGTGGATGGTGTTTGGCATCCAGCAGTCGGCGTTCAGAGTTTGGCGTATGTAACAAATCGGTGTCTATAATCAGGTGGTGACATTTTGCATGTTAATACCTTGTTTAAATTGTTTGATTGTTTCTAGTTGGTTGATGAGAATGAATGGGTGTTCATAACAATGGTCTATGACAACAATAAGTTGAAGTTTACAGCTGGGGATGAAGAAATTGAACAGACCTTTGATGGTAGGAGTTCCCCTGGGGTTATACGACTAAGGCCAATTCAGCGAGATAGGGGTATTTTTGATAATTTTGAAAATCATTGATTGTAAAATTGTTTTTTGGGCTTAGATGGTGAACCTGTAGAATTATTACTTGTCCATCTGTATGTTTGTCCTTCAGTCTGGTGCATTTCTCCATCTTCTTGTCAATTTTTGAATAAGTGAACTGCAATTCATTTGTCCCAATGTTCCCTCGATTTGGAGAAATCGGCCAAAATATGATGACTTAATTCAGTTGATGATTTTCATTGATAATTATATTTTATACCATTATTCTTATTTATTATTTCATTAATAATTTATTAATATATTTATTTACATATTGTTAATATTTATTCTAGGTGCAATCCTGTCCAGTAAGTGTCCGTTTATATTCGGAGGTGTAACATTGGATGTTGGTATGGCTATAGATGAATTGCTGATCTGTCAAGAAACTGGACTCACTACAGAGCAACTTGAAGCATTTAGAGATGCGGGAACTCTGCCATAGATAATTTGGCTACAGTGCTAGGCCTATAGTTTGTTGTATTGTATATCATATGCATAATATCCAAAATATTGATTATAGACATCAAAGTATTGAGCAATATACAATATTATGTTATTGTTAATAATATACAGTAGATCCAAATTATAACAGTTATAAAAGAAGGAACTGAGGAATTTTGATAACCCTACGGCTTTAATTTGGCTGATTGATAAAATTCCAAATTAAGTCTCCACCAATTTTTAAAAAAAATCCCCAGGGTATTTTTGTCCAGCGACTTTTCTATGTGCTACCTTGCACAATTAAACTTTGGTGAAAATCTGGAATAACATGGATAAAATGTCTGTTTTAACTATTTTCAAAGATTTATGGAGTCAGTGCTGGTTCATACAAAGTAATCTGATACCAGGAGAGATAAAATTGCATTATCAGTGATGTGCTTTGAAGTGAGTAATACTATTGATAATGTTTGGTATGGCATTTGCATCTAGCCCTCCAATATCCACATTTTACTGATGGGTCAGTCAGCCAAAATTTTTAAAGCCCAATCTGCCAAATTAAATAGTACCAAATTAAAACAATTTACAGGGAAGTGAAGTCTTGATCCACCCATCTATTCATTCTTTTCATGACCCCGAAGGTTAGATAAATCAGAATTGAGTAGATGTGCATTATAGTATTTCCATCTTTCAAATGTATGCCTGCAACAAAGGTGTCAGTACTATACATTTTGCATGAAATTTCAAATTGTCATCCAAATTATAGATTCAATTTTTCTACTTCCTATTTCTTATTCATGGACATGAAGACATGATGTCATGTATCACATTTAACAAAATAGTGTGTACAGTAGAACATTAATGAACTACATGTACAGTGAACACAAAACATGTGTTCACTGTAGGTAGGTGCACTACAGAGAGGTGATTTAATACAGAGGTCAGTTGAGTATGTCCTTAGAAGGAATGTTCAATAGATACAGGTGTTTGCAAGAGAGAGGTGTCCACTAAGACAGGTTTCACTGTATACGTAACAGGGTGTTTCATATGTATGCACCCCCCTCTAAACTCATACATGTAGCATTGCCATCCTATCATGTTAAATACCATTCTCTTCATTGTGGAAAGTTACATAAGATTGCAAAGTTTCGGAATCAAGGGGTTACCTGAAAAAAGTTGCAATATATCAGAGTATGTGGGTACATGTTATTCAGATAGCAATTTCTGGTCATTTTGAGGGCAATTAAAAGGTCAAAATTAGCTTCCGTATTGCACATTTCTTGCAGTTGTCATCATGGCAGAGTTCAGTCCACATGTCTGTGACAGTTATGCACAGAGATATATTGCCAGAATTCATACAGTGGCTTATAAGGAAGCCAGACACCATGATACCACTTTTATCACTAAAAATAGGCTGTGGACAAAGTTAACATGTATGCATTTAGAGGGGGAAAGTCCATAATTATTTGAGCAAATATATTTTACTTTTTTGGAATTGTGTTGCTATTTTGTATTTCAGGATTGCAAAATTGTATAAATTGATTGTATGGAAATTTTGAATAGTCTTTAAAATCAAAGGATTATCATCAATTAATGTCAAAATTTTTGTTTGGTCAGTTAAAAATGCATGACATGATTGACTGTTTTCACAAAAAATGTATAATAGTGATATTATATACAAAAATTACTCTTAGTCTACTCCAATTATTTCTTGCCTTATAAAATTTATATTCGTTTATTCATTTATATAATTTTCATCTCGGTTTTTGAACATATTTTTTCTCAAGTGGGTGCAAACTTCTCATTTTCACAATTCATACTGAATTTGGTCAAAATATGCCCATTTTTCATGATTTTTCTCATTTTCAGGTGAGTGCAAGGCTGTTTTTAAAATCTCAGGTGGGTGCTGCACCCACTTGCTTTAATGCTTGGGAGATCACTGGTATATCAAGTATCATATCTGTATGATGCTTCTGTTTTGTTGGATCATCTTATTTATTTTGATAAAAATCTGTTCTGACTTTACTTTTGTACATGTATATTTTCTATATATTAATGGGTTCTGAGTAATTTACTGAAGCAATGTTAAGTAGTAAATACCATCATTGGGTGTTTCAAACCCCGAGGATCATTATAAATGGCTCTTTACATACAAGTTCCATTTGTCCTCTAATGCACTGGATGACATGTAAAACCTGAGACTGGTTCATAGTTGGTTCATAGCTGGTTCATAGCTGGTTCATTTATAAATAATGTGATTGGAAAATTGGAAGGTGAAACATTTAAAAATCAAAAAAAGGTTATATTACTAAGTCAGGCCTGTAGCCAGCTTTTGCCAGGGGGGGGGTCACTTTTCAAAAGATTCCAGGGAGGGTTCACATTTGACAATTTTGGCCCAGAATACTCAAAATGGTGAAAGAATTTTTGGCCAGGGAAAATATTTGTGTATAATAGATGTTTTTATGTCACCACCAAAAGTGGTGACATGTGACATATTGTTATGGTCTCCATTTTTTTGCGACGGCGGTTGGTGGTTGGCGTCCGGCGGTTGGTGGTTGGCGTCCGGCGGTTGGCGTCCGGCGTCTGTAACAATTTCTTTCAACTTCCTATAACTTAACAAATTCTGTTTAGACTGACTTCAATTTTTTTCTAAATCATCTACATGTTCTCAGAAGTTCAAATCAGACTTTAGATTTGACATTTGACCTTCAATGACCTTCTCAAGGTCAAAAAGGTCTTTTTTCAACTTGCTTCACATTGACTAAATTTTTTTTCAAAATCATCTACATGTTCTCAGAATTTCAAATCTGACTTTAGATTTGACATTTGACCTTCAAATCTGACTTTAGATTTGACATTTGACCTTCAATGACCTTCTCAAGGTAAAAAAAAGGTCAAAAAGGTCTGTTTTCAACTTGCTTCAAATTGACTAATTTTTTTTTCGAAATCATCTACGTGTTCTCAGAAATTCAAATCTGACTTAAGATTTGACATTTGACCTTCAATGACCTTCTCAAGGTCAAAAAAGGTCAAAAAGGTCTGTTTTCAACTTGCTTCAAATTGACTAAAATTTTTTTCAAAATCATCTACGTGTTCTCAGAAATTCAAATCTGACTTTAGATTTGACTTAAGATTTGACATTTGACCTTCAATGACCTTCTCAAAGTCAAAAAAGGTCAAAAAGGTCTTTTTTCAACTTGCTTCAAATTGACTAAATTTTTTTTTCAAAATCATCTACATGTTCTCAGAAATTCAAATCTGACTTTAGATTTGACATTTGACCTTCAATGACCTTCTCAAGGTCAAAAAAGGTCTGTTTTCAACTTGCTTCAAATTGACTAAATTTTTTTTTCAAAATCATCTGCGTGTTCTCAGAAATTCAAATCTGACTTAAGATTTGACTTAAGATTTGACATTTGACCTTCAATGACCTTCTCAAGGTAAAAAAAAGGTCAAAAAGGTCTGTTTTCAACTTGCTTCAAATTGACTAAAAAATTTTTTCAAAATCATCTACGTGTTCTCAGAAATTCAAATCTGACTTAAGATTTGACATTTGACCTTCAATGACCTTCTCAAGGTCAAAAAAAGGTCAAAAAGGTCTGTTTTCAACTTGCTTCAAATTGACTAAAAAAAATTTTCAAAATCATCTACGTGTTCTCAGAAATTCAAATCTGACTTTAGATTTGACTTAAGATTTGACATTTGACCTTCAATGACCTTCTCAAGGTCAAAAAAGGTCGAAAAGGTCTGTTTTCAACTTGCTTCAAATTGACAAAAAAATCATCTACGTGTTCTCAGAAATTTAAATCTGACTTTAGATTTGACTTAAGATTTGACATTTGACCTTCAATGACCTTCTCAAAGTCAAAAAAGGTCAAAAAGGTCTTTTTTCAACTTGCTTCAAATTGACTAAATTTTTTTCAAAATCATCTACATGTTCTCAGAAATTCAAATCTGACTTTAGATTTGACATTTGACCTTCAATGACCTTCTCAATGTCAAAAAAGGTCAAAAAGGTATTTTTTCATCTTGCTTCAAATTGACTAAATTTTTTTTCAAAATCATCTACATGTTCTCAGAAATTCAAATATGACTTTAGATTTGACATTTGACCTTCAATGACCTTCTCAAGGTCAAAAAAGGTCAAAAAGGTCTTTTTTCAACTTGCTTCAAATTGACTAATTTTTTTTTCAAAATCATCTACATGTTCTCAGAAATTCAAATCTGACTTTAGATTTGACATTTGACCTTTAATGACCTTCTCAAGGTCAAAAAAGGTCAAAAAGGTCTGTTTTCAACTTGCTTCAAATTGACCAAATTTTTTATTCAAAATCATCTACATCTTTTCAGAAGTTCAAATTTGACTTTACAAGTTCTCAGAAATTCAAATCTGACTTAAGTTTGAACTCATAATATTGTGAGCAACTAGGTGGTGACATTTTGTCATGTTAATGCCTTGTTCCAATCTGTTGTTGCATTCTGGTAATTTTCTGAATGTTAGCATATTATAAAACAGTTCATGTTAATGACAGTGAATATCTTGAATGTTCATTCATACACTTTTTAAAACAGATGTGGTTTAGTAAAAGAGTAGCATACTCAACCATATTGATGTAAATATATGTTTGTACTGAGTCTGTTTGTTACATATTCTCTTGACTGAAGATCTCGATTTAAGCAATATTTAAATGATGCAAAAACTTCTGAGAGCTCCCACATTGAATTGAAGATTTCAAAAAGCTTATCTTAACAATTAACACATAAAAGCAAGTATAATTTTAATATTAATGCTTCAGTTTGTTAAAATCTCTTGAATCATTATAAACAATGTAATTTAAGCTACCATTTATATTCCATCTTAAAGTACATATTTAAAAAGAAATAGGTCAGTGTTCCTTTAATATTAAGACCTTATATCCCCACACACTATACATACATATACTTCACAAGTCTTGTTTCTAGCTTTAGGCATATTCTATACCATCAATTACAAGTAGGTGTGTATCATTTAGGTACATATAATATGGGTGGAATTGCAGTTCTAGTGCTGTTCCTGTGTATTGCTGTTGACACTGTGGAAAGTGTTGCAAATGGTAAGTTAAAATACAAGAGTGACCAAGAATTAAGTCTTGAGTTGTAGTTTTATGTTTCTGAATTTTTTTGTATTGTAGATTAAAAAACAAATAATTACATATTCATTTAACAGCATTGTTTTTCAAATGTATTTTTTTCACATTTGAATTATTATTCTGATATAATACAGAGCTCAAGATTTTTTTGTTTTATATAAGGTTTTATATTTCAAGCTGATGTTCGTATATTGGATGTTTTAGTTATGAATATACCATTTATTTTAGCAAACCACATGGTCTTTTTTCAATTGCTTCTTGAGATTTTGAAGTACAAACATCTTTGTGAATGTAAATATTTAAAAAAGGAGTGGGAGCGAATCGAAGCAAATGCGTGACACATACGCAATTTGTGTGAAAATTCTGAACGAACTGCGTTAAATTTTTTCGGCGTTGATTTTTTTCTGTTTCGTTGTGTCTTTTATCTTATTCTCCAGAAATATTTTTGCTTTTTACAATGGTCAGAAAAACTGTGTATTTGCTGGACATTGGCGTGACTTCAATTTGTACAGCAAATGTGTGACAAATACGCAAATTGTGGGAGTTGACAGGCCAGCAATAATGATAAGTTCTTAATATTTCTAAAATAACAATATGTTATTTGTATGATATTTTATTTTCAGAATGTGCATTTGAGCAAGGGTCAGATTGTTGTCATTTCCAGACTAAAGGTGGGCGGGGTGGAGAGGCCCCATGTTTTAAAGGGAGTGTGTGGAACCAGGCAATATGTAACTGTGACTGGCCTGCCAGGGTAGCCGTTCCATGCAATCCGCAGGAAGACTGCAATGTAGGTATGAACATATGAGGTTTTCTTTTATGTGTGAACATAATATCATACAGTGAAACCTGTAAGGTGAAACAGCTCTTGAAAGGGAACACCTCTGTTAGTCAAACACTTATCAGAGTCCCATGACCAAATGACTTAATATTAAATGTATTTCATTGAGGTGTTTGCATTTGTTACTCCATGGATGGACAAGTTCCATTATTAAGGCATGGGCAACTATATACATGTGCAATGCCTTAACTTATATTGAATTTTATAATTTAGTACAAGAGGGGGGGGGGGGTATGCACAAAAATTTAGGCACTGAGACCTTTACTTTCAAAGATGCATAGATATCCAAACTTCTTAAATGATGTTCAGTAAACTATAAATTATCTAATATTCCAAGCAACAATCCATATACACTTTAAATATTTATATATTATTCCGTTATTTTCCAGTTGAACCAGCTCCAGTGGTCACATGTCCTGTAGATCTGGCTACTGGTAAGAACATCTCAATTTTTATTAGAAAAGATAACACCTAACATGATAGATGTACAAAGTTCTTTCTTTTTTAAATCCTAGATAAATCTTCTTTATTTTTTAACCATTATTAATTTCACATAAGTTTCAACAAGAAAATAAAAAATAAAATATTTGAAGCATTAAAAGACAGGTGTAAACATGTTATTGTATAGACATGTTATCATTTGTCCTGATTTATACCCAATTCGAACATGACTGTATTCACGCCTTCTATAAACTGTAAACAAAGTCAACATTTCACCCGGGGTATATTCGCGAACAAAACCCCTGGTAATACGTGTAATGTGTGACGTCATAATGGCGAGCCGTTGTAATGGCGGACCATAATAAATATTTGTGACATTTTGGTGAGTTTTCATGTTCGAATCATAATATAGACCTCAGAGCAGTTGTAATATCGTCGAATACACCCCTCGACAATATAACCCCTGCTCTTCGGTCTATATTTCTTAATTATTGGGTGATGGTTTAATCATAAATTACAATTATGCATAGTGTTTTGCTGCTTCAAATATGTCTTTCAAATCAGTGCTGTATTAATGGTGTTTTATACACTATTATAAGTAAATATAATATTCTTCCAGACCAGTACTGTATTAATAGTTTTATACATGCTATTATAAGTAAATATGATATTCTTCCAGACCAGTACTGTATTAATAGTTTTATACATGCTATTATAAGTAAATATAATATTCTTTCAGACCAGTACTGTATTAATAGTTTTAAACATGCTATTATAAGTAAATATAATATTCTTTCAGACCAGTACTGTATTAATAGTTTTATACATGCTATTATAAGTAAATATAATATTCTTGATATTCTTTCAGACCAGTACTGTATTGATAGTTTTATGCATGCTATTATAAGTAAATATAATATTCTTTCAGACCAGTACTGTATTAATAGTTTTATACATGCTATTATAAGTAAATGTAATATTCTTCCGGATCAGTGCTGTATTAATGGTGTCATATACACTATTATAAGTAAATATAATATTCTTCCAGATCAGTGTAGTATTAATAGTGTAATATACACTATTATAAGTAAATATAATATTCTTCCAGATCAGTGCCATATTAATACTGTAGTGTAATATACACATTCTTTCAGATCAGTGCTGTATTAATGGTGTCATATACACTATTATAAGTGAGACAGAGTACCAGCAAGGCAGGACTATACAATCTTGTCCTGCTGACCAAGTATTCAGCCCTGATGATTGCTGTTGTGAAGGAGGAGATTCCTTTGGTATGTATTCTTAAAATGTGGCATTTATGTGTCATATTACATCATTCTGTGTTATAACCTTGATGAGTTAAATTACTTATTTCAACAGTAGTTTTAGTTTAATTTTAATTTAGTTCAATACAAAATGAAAAAATGTATGCTGTGGCTAAATTGGGAAATCAAGCAGCTAATGATAGATGAAAGATATGAGCCTGTTGCATAAATTATATTAATACTGAACTTAAGATTGGAAGTATGGTCACTATTCAGCTTATGCATGCCATTAGAGACTGGCACCAGAATATTTTAACACAAAATAACATAAAAATCATCTGTCAGTCTAAAATGTTCTTTTTAATGAGTTTATTTAGTGTGATTGTACTTAAACTTCATTTTGTCTCGCTTATAAATTCTTACTCTTTATAATACTCTTAAGATAATTGAAATTGATATAGTTTGCAGTAAGTTTTTATTCTAAAATGCATTCATGTTTAAAGTATTAAGTATGATATTTTATAAGATGTACATTAATATGAGTAAACCATAGTGCAAGTGGGGTTGTGTATTCACCTCAATTTTATGATCACAAAATTGAAATATATGAAATACATGTCTATATGATGTTTGTGCAAAAATATGTTCATGATGTTTCACATACTATATACAATAAACCCTATTATATTTAGCATCAACTTAGTACTAGAAGTGGTTACATATTGTTATAGTCTCGGACTTTTTTTGTGGGTGGTGTTCATCGGGCAGCATTCAGCATCTGTAACAAATGACAGGTGGAGACATTTTACAAGTTATTGGCTTGTTATTCCTTGCTTTAATTTGAATTACCTGGGTATGTTACCTGTCAGTTAGAATAGACCTTCATATTAGATTGTACTATCTTACCACTGGTCATTTGTCATTTGTAAACCCAAGATTGACATTTATGCGTTTGATGATTTCTCTAGCACAACAGTCCTTGGGTCAATGCCATTTGGTAATCACCTGGACTGAACTGTATTAGAAATGGTCTAGTTGTTTGTATTTAAAGAGAAAAGATAATAGATTTCTCATTCCGGGTGCAAACAATGAATAGGAATTGCTATATCTCATTCCATTTGCAACTAATGATAAGTCCTATATCTCGTTCCAGTTGCAACCAATGATAATTGCTATTCATTCCATTTGCAACCAGTGGTAATTGATATATCTCATTCCATTTGCAACCAATAGTAATTGCTATATCTCATTCCAGTTGCAACCAATGGTAATTCCTATATATCATTCCAGTTGCAACCAATGATAATTGCTATATCTCATTCCAGTTGCAACCAATAGTAATTGCTATATCTCATTCCAGTTGCAACCAATGGTAATTCCTATATATCATTCCAGTTGCAACCAATGATAATTGCTATATCTCATTCCAGTTGCAACCATTGGTTATTGCTATATTTCATTCCAGTTGCAACCAATGTTAATGGCTATATCTCATTCCAGAGGCTGTTGATGGTAAATGCATGTACTGGAATTTTGAGAGAACTGTTATTGATTCAAACCAGAATATTCCTATTAGAAAATCTGGATTTGCCAGTTATGACTCTCGAGATGGCCTGGCAGACAGGGGTTACTATATGCAGCTGGACCAGGAGGGAAGTCTTGCTGTAGATAGATTGTCAGGAGCTTATTTCGGACATCGCTTCTCTGTTGCTTTCTTTGTAAGATTTGATGGCCTTCTTAATGGAGAGAATCGTGCAAATACTATATTTAGGTCAGTCTTTATTATGTCACCACATTATATTAAGGTCAGTCTTTATTATGTCACCACACTATATTTAGGCCAGTGTTTATTATGTCACCATTAGAAGTGGTGACATATTGTTAGAGTCTCCAACCTTTTTGTGGATGGTTGTCGGTTTTCACTGCTTCACACCAGAATAGCCTGACAATGGTAAAGTCAGATACCATTGTCACAAATGGCAGACATAACCGTCGCTTCAACTGTTTAATCACGTTGTCCTCACTTCATGGGATTTTATCGTCACTAATTCTAAGCATGTATTAAGCTCTTGTGATGATGTTTCATATGAAATTGTGACAACGGTATCTGACTTTACCGTTGTCAAGCTATTCCGGGGTGTGCTTGGTGTTTGGCATTTGACAGTTGGTGTTCAGTGTTCGGCATTTGTAACAAATGTAGCAAATGGTACATAGTGACATTTCGCATTTTAATATCTGTGATTCATTGGAAAATCTCTAATTGCTACAAACTATATGAACAAACAAACTTATGCACAATCAACAATAAACTATTTCATCAGGTCAACCCTTAAAAGCAATTATTTTACAATCCAAGTAGTAGATGTTATTACTGGTAATAAAATTGGGTTGTTTTCACTGATTGAGAAGACATGTTAATATTCCTTGCTGTTCTACACTTTATTTTGTGAAGTTTATATTTAAATATACAATGGGTCCACTCTTGCTGCATTCTTAAGAAGTTATTCTTATGTAGCATAATAAATATAGAATAAAGAACATAGGTTTAAATACCCTTTGGGTGACTGTGAAGAAAATTAAACATCATTTATGATAAATACACAATAAATACTCTTAATACTTCCTTTTAGAGAAAAATATGTTTTTAATGAAATATTGAACGAAGTATAAATCATATCCTTATTAAAATGTCACATATAGTACTACATAGAATAAATAAAATCATATTTAATATGTACATTGTAGCAATGGAGATGAAATCAATCAAAATTATGACGAATTTCCACCAACCATTTTCATGATTGCAAACAGCGGTGACTCGGGTAAAGTGAACCTTGGGGGAGGGGTCTTAACTGGCCGTCAGACAGAGATAGAACCTTTCTTTGATATCGTGAGTAGAATCCAAGTCCACTTATTATGTGATTGTCTCTCTCAAATAAAGTTAACTAAGCAGGAGTTACAAACATATAAAAAAGCAAATACATAGCCTAACACATGCACTAGTCACACTTGAGCAAAATAAATATATTCTTGTAGACCAATCATTGAAATAGCCTTGGCATTCCTTTATGCAAATGAGACACAAAAATGAAGCTGATATTTTTCATATGTAGATGTTATTTCGTATTGTTTTTGCTCCAATTTTTTGCGTCACCTTGTACATTTCTATGTTTGTTTTCAGCCAGTTGATGAGAATCAATGGGTGTTCATAACAATGGTCTATGACAACAATAAGTTGAGGATTACTGCTGGAGATGAAGTGTTTGAACAGATTCAAAGTGGTATGTACATATACAGTGAAACCTGTATGTCTGGACACCTCTCTTATCTGAACACCTCTCAATCTGAACACTTTTTCTCTGTTCCAATCTCCCATAGACTAGCATATCTAAAAAAATTGAAATGTGAACACACAATAATGTGAACACTTTTGGTCGGTCCAAATCTCCCATAGAATCACATATATTTAAAAAATTGAAATGGGAACACACAATAATCTGAACACTTTTTCTCTGTCCCAATCTCCCATAGACTCACATATTTAAAAAAAATTGAAATGTGAACAGGATTTACTGTAGTTGATTCATAAGATTTTATTCACTTCATTTCTGAAATTCTCTTTGTGGTGTAACTCTTGATTCATGTTAAAAACATTTGTTTGTGTGCGCTTCATGAGGAAGTTGCTCCTTTTGAAATTGATTTATTTATGAGTTTTTATAACTTGTCATCTTGGAAAAGTGTGATTTTTCATTGAACACCTCATAAAAGTGCCCTTATATGGATGGAGTCCTGGAACACACATTCACAAGTGAAGCACTTTTTACAGGCACAACTTCAATGACAATGTATTTGGACTTTGTAAGGAGAGACAATAAGTTTGCCAAAACCAGAAAATCCCAGCCTATATTTATATAATTCATAATCATGATCAACTTTCTGCTATCTTACAGGGTGTCATTTTGCTACATGATAGAAATAGAAATCCATAAAGAGATAAATAATCAATAAAACAAGCCAAATAGTTCAAATTAATTTTATAGTCATGAGAAATTGTCAAACTTTGTCAATATATTTTCTAGGACAAATCAAATCTACTAGCTGTCCATTGATGTTTGGAGGCTTTTCCTTGGATGCTGGGATGGCCATAGATGAATTGCTGATCTGTCAAGAAACTGGACTCACTACAGAGCAACTTGAGGCATTTAGAGATGCGGGAACTCTGCCATAGTCTCGGCATAGATATAGAACACACATTGTGATAACATATTATTGATATGCAAAGTCATTTCTGATTTGTTTCACAAAACTTAAAAAATCTAAAAGACTACAACAGAATAGAACAAGGCATTAACATGACAAAATGTCACCACCTAAAACAATTTGGTCAATTTAAAGCAAGTTGAAAAAATACCTCTTTGACTTTTTTTGACATTGAGAAGGTCATTGAAGGTCAAATGTCAAATGTAAAGTCAGATTTGAACTTCTGAGAACATGTAGATGATTTTGAAAAAAAAATTAAGTAAATTTGAAGCAAGTTGAAAAAAGACCTTTTTGACCTTGAAAAGGTCATTGAAGGTCAAATGTCAAATCTAAAGTCAGATTTGAACTTCTGAGAACATGTAGATGATTTTGAAAAAAAAATTAGTCAATTTGAAGCAAGTTGAAAAAAGACCTTTTTGACCTTGAGAAGGTCATTGAAGGTCAAAGGTCAAATCTAAAGTCAGATTTGAACTTCTGAGAACTTGTAAAGTCAAATTTGAACTTCTGAAAAGATGTAGATGATTTTGAAAAAAAAAATTGGTCAATTTGAAGCAAGTTGAAAACAGACCTTTTTGACCTTTTTTGACCTTGAGAAGGTCATTAAAGGTCAAATGTCAAATCTAAAGTCAGATTTGAATTTCTGAGAACATGTAGATGATTTTGAAAAAAAAATTAGTCAATTTGAAGCAAGTTGAAAAAAGACCTTTTTGACCTTTTTTGACCTTGAGAAGGTCATTGAAGGTCAAATGTCAAATCTAAAGTCAAATCTAAAGTCATATTTGAATTTCTGAGAACATGTAGATGATTTTGAAAAAAAGATTTAGTCAATTTGAAGCAAGATGAAAAAATACCTTTTTGACCTTTTTTGACATTGAGAAGGTCATTGAAGGTCAAATGTCAAATCTAAAGTCAGATTTGAATTTCTGAGAACATGTAGATGATTTTGAAAAAAAAATTTAGTCAATTTGAAGCAAGTTGAAAAAAGACCTTTTTGACCTTTTTTGACTTTGAGAAGGTCATTGAAGGTCAAATGTCAAATCTTAAGTCAAATCTAAAGTCAGATTTGAATTTCTGAGAACACGTAGATGATTTTGAAAAAATTTCTTAGTCAATTTGAAGCAAGTTGAAAACAGACCTTTTTGACCTTTTTTGACCTTGAGAAGGTCATTGAAGGTCAAATGTCAAATCTAAAGTCAGATTTGAAGGTCAAATGTCAAATCTAAAGTCAGATTTGAATTTCTGAGAACATGTAGATGATTTTGAAAAAAAATTGAGTCAATGTGAAGCAAGTTGAAAAAAGACCTTTTTGACCTTGAGAAGGTCATTGAAGGTCAAATGTCAAATCTTAAGTCAGATTTGAACTTCTGAGAACATGTAGATGATTTAGAAAAAAATTGAAGTCAATCTAAACAGTATTTGTTAAGTTATAGGAAGTTGTAAGAAATTGTTACAGACGCCGGACGCCAACCGCCGGACGCCAACCGCCAACCACCAACCGCCGGACGCCGTCACAAAAAAACGGAGACCATAACAATATGTCACCACTTTTGGTGGTGACATAATAATAAGTCCATGGAGAGTAAATCATTGAGTCAAATATTTTGTAACTGCATTATTTGGATATAGATGGAAGCCTGTAAAAATGTAACAAGTTGAACATAGTGATGTAGAAATCAAATGATAGCTTGATTATAGATGGAACATTTTTGAAAAACAAATTCTTTGTGAACAGTGAAGAGCAACAATTAAGACTTTAATTGGTGTATAAATAACATACAATATAAAGAAATTAATTATCATTCAACAGAATTTTTTTTGTTCATATAATTATATATGTATACATTGCACCTCATGTCATGATCATAACCAAGTTTAAAAACAACATTTGTTTAGTATATCTCTCATTTCATCACAATAGGTATCACCTTCACATGATTCCAAGCTGATTGAATAATGTGATTCTAAAAAAAACATTATAAAAGAAATGTTTTGAAGACGAGATTTTATTTTTTTAAGTGGCAGGAACTAACTATTTAAAATATTATCACATTTTTGAAATACTTTTTTCTCACAGCATACCGAAGAGATCTGTTTATCGAAACAATTCTACCATTTTCCCCTTTTCTTTCCTGTCACTATATATTACGTAAAAGATTTTCACAGTTATTTTGGCAAGCTATCACAGTTCAATCAAGATTCAAGGGCAATAGGTGACATATATTAAGTTCGAGAGGCGATTCCAGTTCAAAGCATTGTCCTCAATTCAAGTTTCATTTTTGGCATTCACACATATACATTGTATTGCTACAAACAACATGCTATAAATCAAAGAACAAGTGCAAGGAACTTAAATTTGACCTTGACCTTGAATAGGACATCGACAAGTGGCATGCCTTTTGGTACTGATGTTGTAAAAACCTGTGTAAGTGGAACACCATTGCACATTGGTACCTCAGATAGTGCTCCACTTGGGAGGTGTTTCACTAGCCTTGCCTAAGTCAGTGTGTTTTTTTTTATTTAATTCAAAATCAAGATAGATAAAATATAATACCAACTTAGGCAAAGCAAAGTTTTTCACTTACACTGGATCATTTTAACCGTCCCACTTACAGCCTTATTGACACAATCATGTGACACAATCATGTCAAATGTTGTAGTCGATTTTCCAAATAATTTATGCCACTCAGCCTTATCTTTGCATAGAATGTGTTGATTAAATAGCAACTTATCTTGTATAAAGAATATATAAAATGTACTTTATAGTAAAAGGAATCAGAGGTGGAAACCAATTTTTCCAGAATTTAATTTTACCTTTAACCATGACTAACATTCATGGGAACATCTTTTATGAATATGGCAATCAGGTTGGCATTTCTGTATCTTTTATATTTTTAAGGCAGTGTTTCCACAATTTAAATGAATGAATAATAAACAACATAGCAGGACACTTTGACTTTGAAACATTATGATCTCTTATTGTTTGCCATGCATAAGGCTTTAGGCCTAGGGATTAAGACCACATCCTAACTATATCTTATGTCAAATTATTGTTTTATCAAGGATACCTCTCATACATTTCTTTTTATTACTACCCTTATTTAGTTTGTTTACTGCAGTTGATGATAACTTAACTGCAATAAACATACATCATGCCACTGTGAAATATTTGTTGATATTCACACATACTATGTATCAGTTTAAAGCTTAAGAGCTATTGCATATAAGTTAGTTGATCTCAACCTGCACACACTTCATTCTCAAATAAGCGTGCTTACGTTTTGACTAATATTTGTTACACTCTGTATCAGACAAACTCTCAAAACTATGAAATTAATAATCTTTTGTGTGCTATCATATTTGGCAGCAGGACTTTCAATAGATAGCGAAAAATACAGTGGGTTTAATGGTTTACCTTAAAACATGCAAAAATAAATTTTATTGGAAATATTCAAACTCTTTTGATATTGAATATTAAAATATGTTGTAAATACGAATAAAGAAAAAATGTGATATTTATTTGATATTATTTTTATGTAGCGAATTTGAAGTTTTAAAACAGCAACATTTACACACATACCAATGGGACATGTGTGAAAAACAACCCACAAGATAAAATTATTTAACTGCCATCTATACGAGTACTGGCTCCTTTGAAGAAGTCTGCCAAGGGTTATTAAGAGAGAATTTTTGACCAGGTAGTGTAACAAATATGCGACAAAACACATACCCTACATTTATTCATGTAAAATGGCATGAAACTGCCATCATTTGATTTTTATTTCAGATTTTACGGTATATTTAACAAAAAAACTCACTGGCCTAGAAATAGACTAAAAGCATTGAAATAATTTAAAGGACTTTTCAAGTGTCAAAGGTTGTGTAAGGTCTCTGCTTTTTATTATTCAAAAGCCCTGTAATGGCCATATATTATCAGATGACATTGCTAGGTTTGAATACTACAAACAACTAATCTAGTATTTAGTGTATGCAACCCTTGTGAATATACATGTACTACAGAATGAGCTAAATCATTTTATTACCTGTCACATCACAGGTGTTAATTAATTTAATATATCGTTTACCACTCTGTTGTACAGTACATGTAGTGCAAATTGTAAGTCTCAACATGGTTAAGTAAGTGCACTTTAAATGAGTCCAGCCTTCAGACTGAAATCACCATAATGTGAATAAATATGAGACATTTTCTCAATGTTTGTTTGTAACTCACAGAGTATTGGTAAGTGTATTATTGACGACATAGGGTGACATTGTGAGATAAACACTATATGGCTAAAGTGGATTCATAGCCCTGAGTTAAGTATAGTTATAAAACTAGGATTTTCTGAAAGTTGTTAGTCATAGAGAATCTGCCTGTACACTGTGTACAGCTACATGTATACGGACTCAAAATTAATAGAAAATATCAACAGTGTGCCAAATATGGATTGTCATTATAGGAAGTAAGGCATATACATACAGTTCATTATATTTGAGGACAATACAATGGACAGATATTGTTTCTGTAAGTAAGCGGTGAAAATAAAAACATATGAGTCACTTATATGTTTAATTTAAGATACAACAGGGTGACTTAAAACATCTGACAACCATCATTGAAGATTTTACAGGGTGACTCCAAATACTTGTTAAAAGAGTAGGCCTAGAAGACTCATTATAAGACTGTCTTATAATATTGGACTTTTACAGATAACAACTATGCTTTGAATATTCAGAACTACAGGATGTGAAGGATTTATAGAAGTTGAGTCTTAGGATTAGAAAAGTTAATTTCCATCATTCTTTTGAATACACAAAATATCAGCCATAAAATATCAGACATGTCAGCCCAGTGAAATTAATTGGAGAAAAATCAGCCTCAATGAAATGACTATTGGAGAAATATCAGCCACAATGAAATGACAATTTATGAGAAATATCAGCCTCAATGAAATGACTATATTGGGGAAATATCAGCCTCAAAGAAATGACTATTAGAGAAATGTCAGCCACAATGAAATGACTAGAGAAATGTCAGCCACAATGAAATGACTATTGGAGAAATATCAGCCACAATGAAATGACTATTAAAGAATGATGAGCACTGAGTTTTGGAATGTAAAGCATAAGAGCATTTTTACACTAAAATCAAGCCTATTCTATAACAATAATAGGTACATCAACAATGCAATGAGATAAGCCTTTATTAAGAGGAATGAGCAGTAGAATGAGGATGTCTAGCCAGATTGGTTAGCCTCCATCAGATGCCAATTTATTTACTGCCTGATGCTCTAACCAGCTGAAAAGAAACTCTATTATCCAATTTATTATCTCTCAAGTATTTTGTCCTTGAACACATGCTGAATCATGCTCCTGAGTCCTGACACAATTAATTTTGATATACAGATCTTGTGAAGCATCCCTATTGCATAAGTGTAGGCATTGAATGAACATGTTCTTGTGCAGGACTATTACCACAAGTTAAGTGTAACTTAATACCAACTGGTCTCCCTGCAATATCAAATTCTACAAGATGATGTTCTTGATTTTGTCGGGAATTTTAAGCGTTCATATAGGGAACGTTGAAACTCAAAATGTTGGTGTAATTGCAATCACTAATTTAACTTTAAATCCTCCCTCATTGCTAGGATTGCTAGAGAATGATGAACAAACAATAACATTGAATTATGTATGCTGTGTGGGAGACATGATCCGCCAAGTTATGACTGTAGTTACCGAACATCCTAACATCGCTGTCATTTCTCAGAATGCAACACATTTGCTAGGACGTCCAGATGAGGATGATGACGGACCATTCCAGCGCCAAGTCTATGTCGTAATTCGGGGGGTTCGATTAGGCTACACATCGTTAACCATCCATTTACATGAGTCAAAGGAAGCGATAAATTCCCGTACAGTGGTGCATTCTGGGTATGTCATCAGTGTTGTCAGACAAGATCGCCCCTTAGACATTGCATTTAGGGTCTTAACTGCTTTATTTGTTGTCATGTTCAATTTCATCATGGGCTGTACATTAGAAATTGCAGTTATTCTAAAGATATTAAAGAAGCCAATTGCCCCCACTGTAGGATTCTGCTGCCAGTTTATCATTATGCCACTAGTGAGTATGGAATATTTAATTATTTATTTTTTCATTTTTTTTTTCATTCATATAATTTATCAGCTTGTTTCACAACCAAATAAAAGTTGAATTTTTTGAGGAAATGTGATTTCGATATATTAATCAAAATATTTTAATTTTGCACTACATCTACCATACTGTGTAAATATCAACATAAAATTTGAAATTAACCTATATTATTAACTATATTGAAATAACCTGCAAAATGGCACCACCTGCCATTTGTTACAGACAATAAACACCAAACACCAACTACCAACCACTGTTCAATGAACACTGTCCAAAAAAGATTGGGAGGCTATATCAATATGTCACCACTCTGTAAAGAAAAAAAATACACCAACATTCTAATTATGCACATCTACCTCAATAATTACAAATAAATGACATTTTAGGAAATAATCTCATTGATGATATAAATATAGCTTTCTGAGACAAAATAAAAAAAAGCACTATATGCCATTTGTTACACATTTGGACCGGTGATCACCACTTGATCACCGGTGATATAATAAAACCAGCAACTCTGTATTGCGTTTTAGCTTGGGTTAGCATTGACCAACATATTTGGCCTGATGGGTGGCATAGGACTGGGCCTTTTAGTGATTTCCTGTAGCCCAGGAGGAGGGAGTAGTAATGTATGGACTGTACTTCTTGGTGGAGAACTAAATCTCAGCATTTGTATGACATTTCTGAGCACAGTAGGCTCTCTAGGTTTGTATGTTAATTATAATCAATTACATGTAATTCCTAATGATATCATAGTCGATGTCATATAAAGGTTACCATCAAAACACACATGGTCAACATTATGTGGTCATTGTCAACATTAAAAGTCGTGGTCAACATTTAAGAGATCATGGTTGACATTTTAGAAGTTATGGTCAACATTATAGATGTCACTGTCAACAGTACAATTACTGAATGAATGACCTTCACATTATGTTTGTCATATTTTGCATTATAAACCGTAAATAATTCACACCTGGGTTGACCTTTGAGGAAAAGCATCAACATTATTGAGGTCACAAAAGGTCAATGTCATACTTGAAGATTAGAAATAGACTCACGGCTACAATATTTCGTTTTCACTCAGAACACCAACATTGTGATAAACTTCACACTGCTATGTTATTTTTCCAGGTATGATGCCATTGTGGTTGTTTGCACTAGCCAGATTTTACGTCTCCAACAATGTTGTCATTCCATTTGAAAACATTGTCATCTCTCTAGTCAGCATCATCATTCCTGTTACCATAGGGATGGTGGTCAGAAAGTACAAAGAAAACATCGCCTTGAAAATCAGCAAGATAATCAAACCATTTGCAGTGTTGTTCATCATTTTTATAGCTGGTTTTGGAAGCTATGTGAACTCCTATATGTTTACATTGATGGCAGAGAGACCATTGTTATTCCCAGCTGGTATGTTGTTGCCATGGTGTGGCTTTAGCATAGGTCTGTTAGTGGCTTTCATTCTCAGACAGCCATTTAAAACAGCTAAAACAATTGCGTTTGAGACGGGAATTCAAAATATAGGAATTGCAATAATCCTGTTACAATTTTCCCTGCCCAAACCTGATGGAGATCTAGCTGTAGTAATGCCTGTCATTGTGGCAATTTTTACACCTATTCCGCTTCAAATTATTTTTGTGGGCCTTCTCATACGGAGATGTATCAAGAAACGATCAAACCCGGAAGATGGTAATAAGGATACTGACCAAATATCCGACTCAGATCTCAATATTAATCATGTGGCAGGTAAAATTGCTGATACTAATGGCTATAGAATAAGCACTGACCAGAATGGCCTGATTAAGGGAGATCAATATAGTAATTTATCAGGTGGTTTAGAGAACAGATGTAGTTCTATAAGTCTATCTATATCTAGTTTTGAGACATCAGTGTAGTAAAGAAAACAGAATTATACTTTGCATGTTTACTTAACAAAGAGAATGCAGTACTATTCATGCTATAAATATACAGTACATACTCTATATATATAATAATAAAATCAAGCCTACGAATGTATAGTGCACACACAAATTCCTTTCAGCTTTATTTGGAAGGACAATTGCATGCCAAATATATATAATAATAATAAAAACAGAATGTGCGAAATTAAAAAAATAAACAACCTGCTTTTTGTTTTGTCTCGTCTGGCAAAGCAATTATTTCAACATAGCTTGAAATCAAAATATTTATGAAGGGGTCTTTGACAGTTCAGAAGGCCACATCTGCCGACAAAAGAAAAAAATTTATTGTAGATTGTTTTAAATTAAATCTGGTAGTTCCATATGGTCTGAACTGGTAGATACTGGTAGCAGTTGCCTTTTTAAGAAGGTAGTTTTCAAAAAGTTGAGGTTTCTCCACATTTCTTATTAACGATGTTCTCAAAATGGTTGTTTTCATTGAAAATATCGTGGCAGAACCCATCATTTTGTGATAGTTAGAAAATAAGATTTTTAACAGTGATAACAGAAACTACCAAACAAAAAAGACCAGGACAACAAAACTTACATGTCCTGCAAGTGGAAAATACAAGGCATTAACATGCAAAATGTCACCACATGCCATTTGTTACAGATGCGAACACCAACCACTGACTGCCATCACAAAAAGTTGTACTTGTGGTGGTGACATAACAATAAGACTCCATTGTTCTCATTCAAGAAGCATATATAATTATTCAAGAAGCATATATAATTATTTCATTTAACATCACCTTAATTTATTCTAAATTTCCAAATATATTTACTATACATGTATGATCATATCATTGTTCAAAGAATAACTTCATTGTGTAATCACAATTTTTGTTAATGATAGTTGAAAACGTAAGACTGAAAAATGCATTTCTTTTAAAAAAAATCATTGACCAGTTACGTACGTAGTTTAGTCTATGCACAATATAAATGTGTTTGATCTATCTATTTATCTTAAGTATTGCTTCTAACAAGACACATCGGATTCTACATTCTAATTTATGTTAAATACTGCACTTAAATACTTTGTACACATACATGGTACAAATTATAAAACTCCATCAGTGTCATGGAACAAACATAGAGAACTGGAACACATGTAAGTCGAATCCGTGATGCAATCAAACAGTTTTCCAAATGCATGTTCAGCAAACCTATACATTGTGCTTTGTTATTTTTAACAAAAATATCTTCCTCATATATAACATATTACCCTGAGCGCAAAGTTTAGCAAGTTCCAGATGAAACCCTCTTTAAAAAGGAAAGTCAAACAAATGCAAAGGGTAATAACATATACATGCACGGCATTTCATGTACATATCATCTTCAACATTTTCCTATTCAAAATACAGGGAAGTGCATATCCTCTTCATTATAAATACAGGCATGTCTGTATCATATTCAACAATATAAAGGCATGTACATATCCTCTTCATCAAATATACAGGTATGTTTGTATCATATTCAACAAAATTAAGACAAGCACATTTCTTTTCAACATCTGTACAGACATTTTCATCATATTCAACATATATACAGGCATGTACATGTATGTGCCATACTCTTCATCGTCTTCATAAAGTCTCTATCCTGGCACATAAGTATGACCACATATGTAGTGTAACTGGCAGATTATATTGCATGACCAACCTGGTTATATATATCATATCGTAATATTATTCATGAAGTGACATTTTATATGGTTGTTCATCCACAAATGTTCAGATATACAGTCCTTAAATTCTGCAAGCAGAACTTTTTAAGAATTATGATTTATTATCCAATATAGCACCTGCGTTATTAGGCTTGTCTTTTAGACAGCATGTTCACTGGTGATCCACTCAATTACGCTGGTTACCGAAGCGGTTTGTTTCGGTAACAAAATGCCGGAACATCGAAGGTACTATTTTTCTTTTTTCCTTATTTCACACGTTGTAGGCAAAATTCCCATGACATTTCTATCACAAACGTATATCAGTATCATATGTTTAAGAAAATGTACATAATTGCAAACATATAGTTCAGAAGACAACAGAATCGCCGATTTAATTCCTCACTTAAGTTACAGAAATGGTATTTCGAAAAACAGTTAAGATCTGCACTTTTAACCCATACCGTTTCTGTAAGTAAAGTGAGGAATTAAATCGACAATTCTGTTGTATTCTGAGCTATTCTTTCGCAAACATGTACCTTTTCTAAAACATAAGATACTGATACACATGTGTGAAAACATGTCGTGAGGATTCTGCCTACAATGCATGAAATAAGGAAAAAGATAAATAGTACCTTCGACGTTCTGACATTTTGTAACCGAAACGAACTGTTTCGGTAACCAGTGTAATCGAGTGGATCACCAGTGATGTTGCACTATATCCACATGATGTAACAACCCATTTGCAATGTGCCCAAATATTCAATATTTTATCTGAATAGGCCAGACTAAAATGAAGGCATCTTTGATGAATTAATAAATGTTGAAATCATAAATAAAATAAAAATATTGCCAAATTAGCAAAGAGCATACACAAACACAAAGCTTTATCATTTTACTGAAATTAAACAAAAATAGAAAAATTTGGGCAATGAAAAATTTGGGGTTTTACAGCTATAGCATTCACAGTTTTTATTGTCAAGGTTTTTTACATATAAGCCTACTGAATACATATGTATACTAAACTGATATATCTGAAAATATTTGGCAATTAGTTTACTGACTCTTATAAAGAGTTGGAGTTTAGCAATTCGTTCACAACAAATGTACATGTAAAATTTGTCAATTAGTGAGCTATTGCTTTATTGACAATTAGCAAGCTATTGCTTTATTGACAATTAGCGAGCTAATGTTGTGATTAAACTGGCACACATTTCAAAGAATTCAAGTGTCTGGTGTGGCCCAGGGCCAGATGGTGTGCCTGCTGCATTTAATGCAGTATCAGAGTTTGAGTTTGAATCAACATCTGGTTCTGTGTCCATTAGCTGCTCATCTGCAATAAACAAACAAATATACATTTTCAATATTCTAAATAATGAAAAAATACATTATGTCAATATTCTAGATCATGAACAATAAATAATGTGACTATTCTAGATCATGAACAATAAATAATGTGACTATTCTAGATCATAATCAATATATAATGTCAATATTCTAGATCATAAGCTATACATAAGTTCAATTTTCTAGATCTTCAACAATATACTATGTGAATAAACAAAACATAACATCAACATTCTAGATCATATTAACAAAATCAAAGTTTACAAATAATAGTCAATATCCATATTATCATCAAACAATCAGAAAAGTTTTAATTTTAACAAACTCTTGATTTTCATATGAGAAATTTGTTCTTTCAGCCATTCAGGTTATGCTCTTCAATAGGCTGGTATTTCTCACTACAATCACCCAATTCCCTTTAAATCTCAACCTACCACTAGGAGTCTTGACAATGTCCTCTGGGCTTGATGGATTGAGACTCTTGAAATCCAAAAGGTAGCTCTTCTGGTCAACTTGATACAACTGCAAGCTCATTTTCACCTGCAAAATACATGAAATCAGTTTCAATACATGGGGCGATCAATAAATTTTGCATGAGACCTTCTTCACTTGATACAACTGCAAGCTCATTTTCACCTGCAAAATACATGAAATCAGTTTTGATACATGGGGCGATGAATAAATTTTGCATGAGACCCTCTTCTAACTCAGAAAATACTTGTTAACAAGTTAGTAAACTTGATGGAAAAGTAGTATATGGACAACAAACAAATAATTAAAAGAGTCACATGGTTATGACTAAAAGTAATAATAGTTTTTGAGGATGCATTTCATAATAAGGTTACAAAAGCTTATGCTTACATTTTCCATTGTGGGAGCTATTAACATATTTATGTTGTGGGATTCTTAGAACAACAAAGACTTGAATCAACTTAACCTTATTAACTGAAGCCATCTTTAGTGATATAAAATTTTTCAGGGGTATAATCAGGCCTATATGTACTATATTTCTACCAAGTTTGATGACATGACTAAATATCCCCTCAAACAGTCACGAAATCTATTGATCACCTTATATCAAAATTCAAACATATAAACAAATATTGCAAAGGGCAACATTCATAAAACTCAAAGAAAATATCTTAACAATTGAATGCAACTATTAACTATCCCCACCAAGTAAATATTGATCAATCAAAACAGTTAATTCTACTTTCTAATGGGCTGTCATCTTCAAAGATCTCTGGAAGAAAGTACTATAATTGATCTTAACTTGGTAAAACAAGGCCATAAAATCAGCTAAGAAACTCACATGGTCCATCTTTTAAAGGGACAATAGCTGTAATTATCATCCTTAATAGCCTTAAAATATTCTAAACTGCTAACTAGGTGAATCACAATGGTTTACATGTACATTTCTTAGAAACCAAACTTTTGATCTGTCCCATGTTTAATATTAGCCATTGGTGCTGATTTGCTATATCCCTTGAGATGCATGTTCTGATTTGTTTTGAATCATATAAATAAATGGATATTAATATGAACTAATAAAAAACTAGCGACACTATACTTGTGTATTAACTCTTTAATATAGCTGATGATTTGTTTTCTTCAATTCATGACACAAATATCTAATTTAGCAAAATACTTCCACTGGTATTTTTCATAGCAAGTCATGTTAATGAAAGGTTGCCAAATATAGTTGACATAAACTTCCGAGAACATTGCTTTAAGATTTTTACTGTCAGAACAATTTATTTATAGAATGCACTCATGATTGTCCAAAGTGGCTCAAAGTCATGTATTTTTGACTTGGATTTAATATAAAAGTGTGCATACATCAGTGAATTAAATAACAGAGTACTTTGTTTTTGTCATTTATTTATTTGATCTATATAGAGCATATTAAAAACATATATGTACATGTCTATTCTAAGCAGTGAACTGTTGGCTAATTATTTCAAGTAAAATAAGAAGACATTGTACTTTCTTTTTTAGTATACATTTCTGTCTTTGAAGTTTGTTACTCCATCTAGTTAACCTTTTCACGTTTCTAATTCGTCATTGCAAAAGAGCCAAAAATAGTAAAAAGTACAATACAATAATAAATAATAATTAAACTATAAATAAATAAATTAGATGCTTAAATAAATAATGGTGCACTCCTTTGGGAAAAACCCTCTTTGTAATCCTTCATATCTACTTAGTGTATTCCTGTCAGTAATCGTATTTCACTTGGTAAACAAGTTACTAAGCAGTGAATCTGTTCAAGTATCTGCCACGTCACATAATTATTTAACTGTTAAATGTCTGCAGCAACGCTTGAGAGTTTGACGATTGCACTCTCTCCGACAACAAATCTCAGCTAACATAGGCGAGGCTAGCGTCCTTTTTCTGATAATCTTTAAATGATTGACCTCTGAATCTGAAAACACACATGATACAATTATGTGAATACCTCATTTAAAACATTATAACAAACATTGTAGCTCATGCAATTATTATTTCTGCTTGATTTGTCACACTGTCAACACTTATGTATACATTTATCTTTCAAACAAAATATGTTGAGCTAGAGACAACAAGAAATGTTTGAATTCTTGTAACCTTGGCTTTGTTCTTTCAAAATACATATAAGACATTCCCTTTATTATTTTCAAAACATAACACTGATATCATCATAATCATTTCATCTACACTTGTAAATGGTCTCATATGAGATAGTTATGGCTCCTATTATTCATTTAGATTTTTGTACAAAAGGTTTTCTAAATGCTTGCAAAGTTACCTTCGAAAATGGATCGTTTCCCAACAACGACCAGTCGTGGACAAACAGATCTCAAGCGTGTATAGAACCTGCGCCCACAACATGTTGTACTACTTCTGTTCCTGGTGGTAGCAGCTGTCTCATTGCTTGAGATAAGCAGCAAAAACATGGTCACTGTACAGGCCACGGTGAATAGATCCATATTCTGAAAAAGAAACAATCGATCAGGCACAAAATATGGTCAGTTTTAGAACATGATACCCTCTCATAACTCTACTGCAATGGTGGCTTGTTCATTTACCCACCATACCCAAAGGTAATCAGGTGCATATATATACCGGTATATATTTTATTGACTCTTTGATGTCATCCAAGGACATATTAGTCAGGAAACTTTTGATAAAAAGCGTTGGAGAAAACTGGAAATCAATTTCTCATATGGTTTCAGTTCAAATTCAAAGGAGTCACACATTAAGATTGTCATCAATTTCACATGCAATTTTCATAAATTATATATATATACAGGGTGTCAAATAAGTCCCGTCCCCCCTGCTACAGCTAAAACCTTAACAGACGGTACCTAGTGTGATATACCATTGGAAAGATCATCCAAAGTTATGTTAACTCACCAACTCTCAAGTATTTTGGATGAAATTTACCTATATTTTCATGATGTCTTTTACAATTAACGTGCCCTCCTTTAAGTAGCTTTTTTGCGTCAAAATGACAAGGATATGACCTCAGAAATACGTCAAAAAGTTCATCTTTTTCGCATTCCACTTGTTACAAAAAGGTTTTCACCACTTTCCTTGCACCTCTATTTTCCACACATCTAACCCTATCCAGAAATTGGTTAAATTCATGGCCATAAACATATTTAGTCATCTTTTGGTCCCTTGACCTTTCTTATACCCGATTCTTAAAATCCTGCCAAATTGCCATGTTTCTAGGCATATGGTCACCTCGATTGATACAATGTAAAAATTTGTGAGATTGATTGACATATGTCAGATATATGCCAATCAACGTAACTTTGGAAGACCTTTCCAATGATATATCACACTTGGTACCAAATATCTTGGTTTTGGCTGTAGAGGGGGGGACGGGACTTATTTGACACCCTGTATATAAATTCATTTCACTATACATTATATATTTTGTGTTACCAACAATAGTGATATGTTTGCCTATGTAATGAATGACAGATTTTCCACTGAAGATACAAATAACTGAATAATGTTGGCACCAAGTTTGTTTTTTCTCCTGGAAGCATGCCCTGGAGGGCGATAAATTACAATTTAATCAAGGATTCTTGAAGAAGTCAGTTCGAATTTAATGTAGAATTTTATATGGAGAAAAACTTTCAAAAACTGTTTCTTCTCTTTGTCAAATCCATTTTCTAAAAAATCCAAAACTTCATATCTTATTCAAACATCTACAGAATTGTTTAACATAATATGTTTCTTAAAATGTGGATATTTTACCCAAATTTCCTATTTTAAAGAATTTCCAGTATTCCTGCATCCCAAATCAATCTGATAATGGATATTTATTAAAATATTATCATATCTTTAAATGATAAAGAAAATGTTACTTAGTTTTTATTTTAAATATCACCATCTCTATCTCTGAATATATCTTTAAAATATCCAAGAATCGAGATAAATTATATAACAAAATAGATTTAACTTAATACTTACTGGTTTGAGAGCTGTCATTTAGCAAAATAACTTCCAACAAATGTGTCGCCTTGTAGTTCTATGCTGTTAAAGGTAATGTCCTTCCACCTGTCGCCCCACCACACTTCTGGATTCTCTTTATATCTGATGGTTTTCTTATACTAATAAGTCTGAATTGTTTCACAAGTAACGTCACATGTTTATTATATCTGTCAATGTTCTTAATGCCTGTCTATGTATTGTTAGAAACAATTGCTGGCATTAAAGCATACATAACTGTGTATCATAAAAGAGAAATACAAAACAATACACAGTAGAATGATTTCATATAGGCCTATATTAGTATACATGTTCCTAAAGAATGATTTCACATGTGTACATGTTTGCAATAGATGAAAATCATTTTATAAATACAGTAATCCTTTTTTAGTTTTGCAAAGTGTCGGTATCGGTATGTCTAAGTCTTCTTCAATGATAAGTACTCTCATCTCTATTCTTATTGCTTTATATGTATTACTTGGTAAAAGATGGGAGGAGTATGTGCTCCACATACAGTATATGTGGTAAGTAAGGAATTTATATCATAACACTCTGGCTTTTTGACTTATGAGCCAATCATAAGGAATCTTATCACTTTGGACACTTAAGAGCATATTGCCATTACAGAATCATCTTGTGAAGATGTTTTGAATGTCTATGATAACTAGAAAAACAGCAACTCCACGGAGTAGCAAATCCCACCGAACAAAACATGTTTTGATAAACAAAATTGAGCCAAATTCATCCACTGGTATTTGAATTATCAAAGATTATGCCTTTATGAAACATGGTTGCCATTTTGAAATTCAGCTGTCATCTTTAGATTGCTTCTTTAGCAGAGAATGTCCATCCAATGGTATCTGGGTTATCAAAGATTACTTTTTAATGAAAAATGGCAGCCATTTTGAAATTCAGCTATTTCTTCTGAAGCAGATCTCCTTTTTCCCTAAACATCAGCATATAAAATTAGAACCAAATCCATCCACTAGTATTTGAGTTATCATTAATTACGTTTTTTTACGAAAAATGGTGGCCATTTTGAAATTCAGTGGCCATCTTGAAAATTTATTTTTGAGCAGAACTTCTTTGTCTCTAGGCATCAGCGTATAGAATTTGAACCAAATCCGTCAACTGGTATTTGAGTTATCAAAGGTTACGTTCTTTTATGAAAAATGTGCTATTTTGAAATTTAGCTACCACCTTGAAAATCCCTTCTCGAGCAGAGCTCCTATCATATATGTCCCTAGGCATCATCATGTAAAATTTGAACCAAATCCATTCAATAGTAATTGAGTTATCAAAGATAATGTTTCATTATGAAAAATGGCCGCCATTTTGAAATTTAGCTGCCATCTTGAAAATCCTTTCTTGAGCAGAGCTCCTATGTCCCTAGGCATCAGCATCTAAAATTTAAACCAAATCCATTCAATGGTATTTGAATTATCAAAGATAACGGTTTTTTTACGAAAAATGGCCGCCATTTTGAAATTTAGCTGCCATCTTGAAAATCCTTTCTCGAGCAGAGCTCCTATATCCCTAGGCATCAGCCTCTAAAATTTGAACCAAATCCATTCAATGGTCTTTGAGTTATCAAAGATAACGTTTTTTTACGAAAAATGGCCGCCATTTTGAAATTTGGTGGCCATCTTGAAAATGTCTTCTTGAGCAAGGCTCCTTTGTACCAAGGCAACAGCATATAAAATTTAAACCAAATCCATCCACTAGTATTTGAGTTATTAAAGATTATATTTTTTCCGAAAAATGGCCGCCATTTTGAATTTAGCGGCCATATTGAAAATTTCTTCTCGAGCAGAGGTTCTACACCCATAAGGCATAAGCCTATAAAATTTGAATGAAATCCGTCAACCGGTATTTGAGTTATTGCCCGGACACACGAACGGGCGGACGGCTTTTCTATATCCCCCTCGAACTTCGTTCGGTGGGATAATCAACAGACTTTCTTACTTGTTAAATAAATTGAATAATATAGACTGTAAGTACTGTAATAGTATAATAATAACAGTATGATATATGAAAATACTGCAATCAACTTGGTTTACAAACTAACTTAGATGATACAAATATTTTATTCTATTAAGGTGGATACCAGTGCAACAAGTGATATACCATTAAGCATGAAAGCGTGCCTCATGAAATACAGACTCCCTAGGACTCAATAGTTTTTGTATTTTATGAGAGATTATTGAACAACTATTAAATACATAATCTAATGACACTGTGGTTAACTAATGGTTAACTAACAGAGTGTTTGATGTCAAAATACCTGTGTGTACCAGGCGTACTGGGCGCCATTAAATGATGAAGGATGTAACATACCAAACATTTTGATATATCACACTGTCAATCATGTAAAATGCTTTAATTCACATCTCTTTCTGCCAGTCATGAGGAAGTTATGGAGAAATACCAACCCAAAGAAAAAATGGTATATTCTGCAACAACCTCTCATATTTCAAGGCTACCTAAAACAAAGTATTATCAGCTTGGCTCAAAATTTGTTATGCCTATTAACACTTTGGTAAAGGAATGTTGCAACATGGCAATACCCCATAACTGATAGAAAAACTAGATAATGCCAATTCAAGGTGTAGTGAATCCGATCAAACAACAATTTAGAAACGAACAGCACTCAAAATGCAAAATTATCAAAATGGCCGCCACAGATGAATTATAATAAAGTACCACACAAAATTGAATTACATTTTTGAGTTATAACAAAAAATAGAAGATAAGACAAAAAATGCATCCATTTTTTAAAATGGGCCATGTATTAAGGAAATTAACACATTAGCTTGTAATTCCAAGTTTTGACATATAAACTATCCAGGCCCGTAGCCAGCTTTTGCCAAGGGGGGTCACTTTTCATAATCTCATACTGACAAATGGAAGGCTTATCTATATCCCTTATAAACTTTCTTCTTAAATTGTAATAATTATTTATGATGATTAATGTTAAGCAAACTAACCTAGAACTTCAAAGGACTAAAAAAGACTAAGTTTGGCTAAAACATTAATCAGAGAGTACTGGTGTAAATGTAATTGTTTAAAATTACTTATATGAGTTGAGGTGCATTTAATTAATAGATGTAGTAAAGATATACTAGATATAATATGCTTTGTACTATCACATTTATTTGTTAAGAATTGCATTGAGTGATTCATCTTAAACTAATAACAAAAACTTTTAAATGCACACAGAAAATTAAATAACAACATTTTGACCAGACAAATAGCAAATAGCAATGACGTCAAATTAGAACAATATTAGACATACCATGCTCTCATATCAATGTCATCAAGAAATTATTTTTGGCAAGGAAACAGGGACAATTGCTGAATTCCACAGATCAGAAATTGGCGCAGCAAGCCAAAGATCGAACTAAATGATATTTTTTCATATAATGTAAATTATGGAACTATAAAAACTGATGTTCAAAAAATAAATAAACCGTGTATGGTTCAACCAGAATAATGATAAAAATATGATATTATTCCTATTTTGATATCATATTGATTGTGAAAATGATATATAGACACTGATTCACATTTAATTGTATGACTCAACTCAACCAGAATAATGATAAAAATATGATATTATTCCTATTTTGATATCATATTGATTGTGAAGATGACATAAATACACTGATTCACATTTTATTGTATGACTCAAGCATATCTCACTCTCAATCATCAAATGCTTGTATTTGCTATTGTTTTCATACTAAATGTAAATAACAAGAAATCGCCAACTCCAAGAAGTAGCAATGAACACTAAATTCATGTATATGTCACAAGTATTGTTTATCATCTACTCTACCCTTGATTAAATTGGCAGATATTAAAAGACATACATTAGAGATATATCAGAATTTCCACCAATTTAAACATGTTCAAGAGATCTAATCAAACTTAATGTAACCACACTTTGAACAGATTTCTAAGTAATAGCAAATTCCTGCTCTAGGCAGCCATTTTGAATTTCCTGAGCCACGAATCAGAAAAACAAAAGCATAATTGAAATCTACTCTAAAATCTTTCCTTAAACATATTGGTGTATTCGAAAATATCTAAAGTTATACCTTGTTTTTTAATTTGATGACAGATCATAATTTTTCGTGTAAAAGACATGTAAAAGTTGAGAAATCTTAAAAAGAAACAAGAAAGTTCATGACCCTGACATGACCTTGACAATCGCAAACAAATCTCTGAAACTGGTGGGCGCTTATTACGGCGATTATCGATTATGGTAAATTTTCCATCTAAAATTTTAAGTACTGATTGACAAATAAGATTTCTGGAGAGAAAACTTCACTTTTAATTAGAACATTCACAAATGTTGATGAACTCTTTACCACTCACTTTAAATATGTGGAGAAACCTGTCATGGATTTGTAAAGATATGTACTGTAAGTGATTCATTGATTTGAGCAAAATACAGAAATCATTTTGCATAAGAGTTTTTCACAAGGGGCCAGCCTACCAATCTTCCATACGAGTCTCAAAAAGGACAGTGAATGTTTAAAAACATCTTTTAAAGCATTTTCTATTCAGCCATGCACAAGGCAATAAATAAATTGAAATATTAAAAAGAAAAATCATGACTTTGTGAACTGAGGAATCCTCCTGGGAATATTTCAAAAAAAGAAAATCAACTTACATGTTTTCCTGTGACAGGATTCGCTCGCCTCACTCTGATATGGAAAGGGTTCACTACTTTCCATTCCTATAACCAAAAGAGAATACACTAAATAGAGGATTTCCTATTGTTATATGTATTTTTAAAAAGAAAAAGATTGTTCATTCTAAAGAATGGGTATCGATATGGCGAACTTTTTGAACACACGTTTCTCTTAAACCAGTCATCAGAAATTTCTGAAAATCTTACAAATTGTCAATTTAATGGCCATCTTTTGAATGGTAACAATATAATTTGAAATAGATATACATACTTTTATTTATATTGTTTTAAAAAACACATCAAACACTTGTTTTGTTCTTGGTATCATGTTTCCAGAGTGAAATGAAAGATCTTTCCGAACCTCATTGCAACAAAACGACATAAACACAACATGTTTAGGTCTCTCAATATTGTAATTGTACAAAGGAAATTTTGGTTGATTTTAAAAAAGTATCTTGTTAATGAAATAAAAGGTTTTTCTTGATTTTTATCTATTTTGGGGGATTTTGTTTTAATTTTTTGAATACTTTTTTAAAATCAACCAAAAATTCATTTGTATAACTTTAATATTGAGAGGTCTAAAAACATGTTGTATATGCTATTTTGTTCCAACAAGGTTCGGAAAGACATTTTATTTAATTCTCAAGAATTGGTAGAAAGGAGCAAAAACAATTGCACTAAAAAACAAAAAATGTTAACAAAAACAGTTATATAAAATATTTCTAAATAATTTTTGCATTAAATTGTTGTCAATCAGTCAACATTACATAAAATACCATGTTTTTTTTACAGAATGTTTTCAATGATTGGTTTAAGAGAAAAACATTGTTGGATTCAGTTCTCCATATCGATACCTATCCTTTACCTTTTATTCATCCTGATTATTTGGATATAATACTGTCAGAGGGGCTTTAAGTGTTGTTTTGAGTTATATCTCATGTGAATATAAACTCCTAATATGGGAATATAATATATGTCAGAGAAAATACTTGTTTTAATTAAAGTGAAAACTACATGCAAATCAAAACAAATAGATAAGATTGTATAGAGGTTTGCAATCCCTAGATACAAGCTTCATTCATTGGATACAAAAACAATTGCACTAAAAAACAAAAAATGTTAACAAAAACAGTTATATAAAATATTTCTAAATAATTTTCGCATTAAATTGTTGTCAATCAGTCAACATTACATAAAATACCATGTTTTTTTTACAGAATGTTTTCAATGATTGGTTTAAGAGAAAAACATTGTTGGATTCAGTTCTCCATATCGATACCTATCCTTTACCTTTTATTCAGTGGATACAAGCTTCATTCATTGGATATAAATGACTACTAACTAGCAGACCAACCAGTGTGATTACTTACATAGTCTAGTTGTTTCATGGCTCTGAATACTTCATGCATTATGTCTTGAGGTCTGCTTTGTGATCTAATACCTGCAAAAGACAAGATCTGTCAATAGACCTTGAATGAATGCAAACATTTTTATTTTCAAATACATACAATGTAAAAGTTTGGCTGGTTAACACAACTAAGGATTGAAATATATGGGAATATGATTTTAAAGTTAACAGGTACATGCACTTCAAATATCTAACGGTGAACTTCATAAAGTGAAAAAGTCATGTTTGTTATTCTAGAAGTATTTCTTGGTCACTTCGTGGAGATTCTTTCAATTCCTTTAATTCATTCCACAAATTAAGTTGTAAAAGATGGGATGTACGAGGGTCGTATGAAAAGTTATGAGCCTAACTATGAAGGAATAATGCAAGATCAATGAAAAATCAAGCGTAAAAACTGTTTTGTGTCTTGAGACTAACAAGGCACAGGACGTGAACGAGATCACACCATCAAATAGGCAGACACTATGAACCAGGAAAACTGTTCTCCTATTATGTTTACAAATTTCAAGAACAAGAAAAAAAATGTTGGCTGTGGTCATATTAATCAATAGCTCACATCTTGAGCTAAAATTTAAGGCAATATGACAAAGTGGATTGTTTTCGATGAGAAGATTTATCGAAAAACCTTCTAAATGGCTGCCAGAAAACAAAATGGCCACCCAAAATTTAATAAGTTCTAGAACTTGATATCCCCTATCATGTACAGGAAATCCGATGAGCAGTTTTCCTGAAATGGCAATGACAAGATTTTTCGAAAAACCTTAAAAATGGCAACCAGAAAACAAGATGGCCGCCCAAAAGTTAATCAGCTCTAGTACTTGATATCCTCTATCATCTGTGCGAATTTGAAGGAAATCCGATGAGCGGTTTTCCTAAATTGGCGATGACAAGATTTTTTCGAAAAAACTTCAAATGGCCACCAGAAAACAAGATGGCTGCCACAAAGTTAATCAGCTCTAGTACTTGATATCCTCTATCATCTGTGCGAATTTGAAGGAAATCCGATGAGCGGTTTTCCTAAATTGGCGATGACAAGATTTTTTCGAAAAAACTTCAAATGGCCACCAGAAAACAAGATGGCTGCCACAAAGTTAATCAGCTCTAGTACTTGATATCCTCTATCATGTGTGTAAATTTGAAGGAAATCCGATGAGTGGTTTTCCTGAAACGGCGATGACAAGATTTTTCAAAAAACCTTCAAAATGGCCACCAGAAAACAAGATGGCCGCCCAAAAGTTAATCAGCTCTAGTACTTGATATCCTCTATCATTTGTGTAAATTTGAAGGAAATCCGATGAGCGGTTTTCCTAAAATGGCGATGACAAGATTTTTCAAAAAACCTTCAAAATGGCCACCAGAAAACAAGATGGCCGCCCAAAAGTTAATCAGCTCTAGTACTTGATATCCTCTATCATTTGTGTAAATTTGAAGGAAATCCGATGAGCGGTTTTCCTGAAATGGCGATGACAAGATTTTTCGAAAAACCTTCAAAATGGCCACCAGAAAACAAGATGGCGGCCCAAAAGTTAATCAGCTCTAGTACTTGATATCCTCTATCATGTGTGTAAATTTGAAGGAAATCCGATGAGCGGATTTTCTGAAATGGCGATGACAAGATTTTTCGAAAAATCTTCAAAATGGCTGCCAGAAAACAAGATGGCCACCCAAAAGTTAATCAGCTCTAGTTCTTTATATCCTCTATCATTTGTGTAAATTTGAAGGAAATCCAATGAGCGGTTTTCCTGAAATGGCGATGACAAGATTTTTCGAAAAACCTTCAAAATGGCCGCCAGAAAACAAGATGGCCACCCAAAAGTTAATCAGCTCTAGTACTTCATATGCTCTATCATCTCTGCGAATTTGGAGAAAATCTGATGAGCAGTTTTCCTTAAACGGAGATGACAAAAAGCGGGACGATCACGATCACGACCACGACCACGACCACGATCAGTAGGACGACTATATCCCACCGATGGTGTGATAAAAACTACATTGATATGTTGAGGTACCTTTCAAATATTAAATAAAATTGAAAAAAATCCCCCAAAATTAATCTGACTTGAACTGAATGCAATTTGAAGTACAGTAACTTGACTGCATTGAATTGACTAACCTAAATGCCATTTTGCTTTCTTGATAGGAACTGCTCGTTTCTTTTCACTAGCAAGAGGGTCAAGAGTCGCAGTAAGATCCTTAGGCTCTGGAAATATAACAAATAACCTTTGTTCCATCTCCTCTTTCAAATGCTCACGTTCATCAAGTAATTATATAAATATACTTTAATGCCAAAGAAAGTGTTAGCAGAGAGGACAAATGAGCCACAAAGTTCTATTGGAAAGTTTAAACTTTTTTTAAGTTATGAACCAGGTAACCAGATATGTTAGTGTAAGATTAGGCATTGGAAAAGAAAAGAAGGCATTAACATGCAAAATGTCACCACATGCCATTTGTTACAGACCCTGAACTCTGAATGCCACCCAGAAAAAAGTCGGTGTCTATAACAACATGTTTTTATGTCACCACTTATTTTAGATCACTTAGCACATTTTATTCTCACGGCTGAGTTCAACTCACCATTCATTCTCTCTGGGTGCCTCATTGGACTTGTGCCAGAAGTTGATTGCCTATTATCCATAGCTGCAGCATGTTTCTAAAGTAAAGTAAATAAACAACATGAATAAGTTTATCATGTATTCTTTACACAGTTGACCAATCAAAGAAATTAAGCCACCTCTTGGATATAAAGTGATTGACAGAATTTTACTGTAAATGTAATTTGCCGAAAAATCTACTTATGACGTCACATATGAACTCTGTATTTCCTTTTTTCAGCGTAAGCATAAAATGTTATTTTATGATGTCAAAGGTAAGAAACCAATCAAATGTTTATCCAACTTGCCTGAATCTCAAATGTATCTCTTTCATATCTAATTCAATTTCAATGTTGTACCACACAACAATACACATATGAATCAAGTTAACGTTAAAAGCTGACTCAAAGGTACTAGGTAAACTGACAAGGGTTCTATGGGTTAAACATTATATTGCCACACTCTGTTTTTGCCAACTGTATTTGGTAGGTGTGACCACAAAAAGGAAATGGTTCATTCCCAGTCCAATGCAAACTCCAGTTAACTATCGAGCACTGAGCGAGTGCAAGCGTTATGCTTCTTCATCATAGCAAAATCCCAGCCAGCTATTTTGGTTTACAGTTAAATATTACATTCACGCTGTCCGCATGACATCTTCATGATCGAGACCAAAGATGGTAAAATAGTGACATTTTTAGATGGAACTCTCAGCTCTTCAATCCTTTGTAAACCCAAAAATATGACGGGGTAAGAGAAGTTTGGAAATATTGGAAAATTGGAACTATTCAGTAAGAAGATCTTGATTGCTTCACTTAAATATTCTTTTAAGTATCCATTAAATATTCATTATGTTTCTGTTAATTGTTTTGCTCATGAATTACAGAGGACACTCTGGGGCTTTGTAGATGGGAGGTATAGAGAATATGGAAACGTCCAATAATATTTCACGACATTAGTGTTGGTAACTGAGTTGTTCGAGATATAAGACAGATTTCTTAAAAATATGTGTGAGGGCTGTTCAATAAATAACGAACACAATTGCTCCCATTCATTTACATTTTACATATTACAAGAAAACTACCCTGGTTGGTTTCCTCAGCTCTGTACTTTAAAGCAATTACTTCAAAAATACCAAGAATGAATTCATAATATTTGGTCAGTATTTGAACATACATATTGCCTTTAACCTTTGGATATGCAAATGCAGGACAGATGTAAAAGAATTTTAGAAAGATGAATAGCTAGAAATATTTTTGGATAATGAAAGATTCTTGACTTGTATAATCAAAACAGTGAGTTAATTTAATACATGTACTGTACATAAACCATTATTATTATTACCATATTATGAGCCAACATATACATATGTCATTCCAAAAATTAATTGATCGCTAATGTTACAATAAATAAAATATGATTGGCTTATTTCATGCAAAATATAATTAAAAATCATGACTGATAGATATATTAATGCAATGAAAGTTTTAAACATGCATACATTAAGACAGCAACACAATTCTAAGGAACAAGAAAATGTAATTGTTTCTTTTTAAGAGGCACTATTTGTAAAAAGGGGGCAGGAGGTGGCACAGGTCAAATTTTATATTTCAAAAATTTCATTATTATATGAAAGTATGACCATTGGGAAGCCAAAATATGTCATTCATTTTTCTCACAGATGATTGGTTAGTGTATGACACCGTTGCTAAGCAACCCATGTTTGTTGTATTTTTACAACCTAGAAAATGCACCAAAATCAGTGAAAAAAGATATATTTCCAGCTTATGGTATGCTAAGAAGATGTTCCAAAACCAGTTAATAACTATTTGATTTGTATATGGGACATGTTGAAGAGTTCATATGTATTGTTTATTATGACGTCACAATGGTTGCCATGGTTACGGAGCCTATTCTGGAACATGGGTCAATTAAGAGATGAAATGGCAGCCATCTTTGGACCCAGTTTGTTTAATAAGCCAGATGCCCCATGTAGAGTGGGTATTACTGTTGGAAAGAGGAGCATTAGAGCTTTCATAATCTGCAATAAAATAACTGGGATTTTGGGTTTTCAAGATTTTACAAGCATTTTACTTTTAACTTTTTTTTCGATGTTTTCGGCCATTTCTTCAAGGTTTTCGTGATTTTAGTTGTAAACATGAGGGTCAATATAGAGACGAAATGGCAACCATCTTTGGATCCAATTTGCCAAAAAAGCCAGATGTCCCATGTACAGTGAGTATTACTGTTGGAAAGAGGAGCATTAGGGCTTTCATTATCTGCAATAAAATAACTGGGATTTTGAGAATTCAAGATTTTACATGCTTTTTACTTTTCCCATTTTTTTCGCTATTTTTGGAGTATTTTCAACTTTTTCAAGATTTTAAGTTGCAAACATGATATTGTTTAGATGTAGCAATGATTATCATATTATATCTAAATTTGCTACATATGATATATGGAGAATAAGGATGAAATTACTTGTACAATAAACCCTATTGACCAAAATGGAAGGATGTTAGGTCAATATAATTGTCTTAATAAAGTTCCCATACCCCATTTTTCATTGCACAAATTTCCCACAAAATAACATTTTTATAACAAATAATGCGTTTTATCAAGCATGATTATTATTCAACCTTCAAATGGAATATAATCCTGTAATGCTAAATATCTAAGTATTAACATCAAATTAGGGAAATTACTAAAAACCTTAAAGAAGCCCAGAAAGAAAAGCAATCTCTAAGTGTAAACCTTATATTGGAAACTATTCAATAGCACAATTTCAAAGAGAGCCAATATTTTAATTTTGCACCATATAATGCAAGAATGGTAAATACAAAGCATTATAACATACCTATGATGATGTATAGTGCAAAGTGTACACAAGACAGCGGGCCAATATAAGTTTTGAAAAGCCCACGCCCGCTAACTTTTTGATTGGTCAAGGCGCTGACGTTATAACCAATCAATCGAAGATAAAACTGCGCGAGCAATTTTTCTAAACTCATTTCAATCATTTTCAAACCATTTGTTTGTCAATTCTATAAGAAAACGGTACTCTCTGACCAGTCTACATCATCATAGGTATGTTATAAATCATTTATGTCACTATCGTGGCACATATGCCCTCGGTTCTCAGAGATCAATGTCCCTCCCAAGGTCGGGCCATATATCACTGAGACCTCGGGCATATATGCCACGATAGTGACATAACCTCTAAATCCAACATCATTTTAGAGCTGTCGAGTGTCCCGCAAATGGCGGGATTATTCCGCGAATTTGATCAAAATTAGGCGTGTCCCGCAATGTCCCACAAAGTCCCGCAATGTCGGCTTTGACCTCCTAATAAAGTATTACAAAAGTTGTACGCATTACACTGAATTTGGTACACACTAATTTATTATTAAAACCTGTATGCGTTACTTACTCTTCCTCAGTGCTTTCATTTTTCCTGAAGTTTATGTTAATGTAAACGATATGTGAAGATATAACGGAAACTTGGTTTGAGTACTTTTACATTAAGTCCCAATCGCGCAAATCCCTTGAATGTCCCCCGACATCCCGCAAATTTAGTGTACTTTGTCTAAAAAATCTGTCCCTCGAAGAAGTCTTTGGTGGTTACCCTGTTAACTGTCCCGCAATTAGAGTGTTTGTTTATCTTTCAAGTGAAGTCCCCATGATGATAAAAATATCAATTGAACAATTTGTAAATTGTAAATAGGGACCCCACGTCAACAATTTTTTCAAAATGTTGAACTTATTTGCTCAAAAGAGGATCTTCTTTTTCTTATTTTTATTGCATGAAAACATTATTCAACAAGGGGTCTAAAACATCTTCAAAAGTAGAATGGTATTGAAAGTCTAGTTTTGAAGATATCAATCTTCGATGACCAAAATCATGCTGAAAACAATAGATAGCATGATTTTTCCCTAACATAAGGGAAAATAACATGGGAAATGTGTTTTTTAACTTTATCGCATTTCAACACCCATGCCCTTTTCAGAAGTTATTAATATAGTGGAGAAGAAACTTTAGATACGTTTAAATTGAGAAAAACAGATCCTCTTTTTTAGAAAATAAGCTTTACAATTTTTAAAAAGTGACAAACTGGGGTCCTAATCCATAATTTTTCGGAGAGTTGGATTGGTATTTTACTATCATGGGGACTTCGCTTTAAAGAAAACATATTATTTTAATAAAAACCACTGTATTTAAACCCAGAAAATACTCATGGTGAAAGATATGACTGCCTAAAATCACTTGGCATACTGCACATGGACCTTCGATCAAAATTTGGCCTATTAGCGCAATCACGCAAATCCCATAAATGTCCCGCGAAATTTGACGAATTCAGGTGGATGCCCCGCGAAATTTGACGAATTCAGGTGGATGCCCCGCAAAATCCCGGGAATTTTGGGCACTAGGTCTAAAAAATCTGTCCCCCGAGAAAGTCTTTGGGGGTTGACGCAGTTCTGACAGTAATGACATTTAATGTTTGATGAAAACCCTTTTTAATAAATCCATATGGAAATACAATTTTGAGTAAATAATGCCCAGAATGGAAATAACCAATATTATACCATATTTAAATGGGTCGTAGAATTGATACCTTCTTGGATCTTCTTTCAACGGAAAATACTGAAGATTTTAACATTTTATTGGCACTAAAGACTGACAAAGCTGGTCCTGATTCTATTTAAGTAACTAGAAAACAGCCACTCCACGGAGTAGTAAATCCTACCGAACAAAACATGTTTTGATAAATAGCCCCCATCTTGAAAAATTGCTTTAACAGAACTCCTCTTTCCCTAGGAATCAGCTGTGAGTCAAATCAGTCCGCTGGTATTTGAAGATTATGTTTTTCTGAAAATGGCAGCCATTTTGAAATTCAATGGCCTCTTGAAAATGTCTTCTCGAGCAGTGCTCTGTGTCTCTAGGTATCAGCATATCGCGCATACAATTTTAACCAAACCAACTGGTATTTGGGTTATGAACGATAACATTATTTTACAAAGAATGGTGGCCATCTTGCAATTTAGCTAAAATCTTGAAAATGTT